CCGCAGAGGGTGTGCTGGTAGAGCAGAGCTGCCGAGGGTTGGCGAGAGGTCGAGGCGAGGCGAGGAGAATGGCGAAAGGGCGCGCCGGCGAGGGGCGAACGCTAGCGTGTAGGACGAGCTGGCAGAGCGGCCAGCGCGTGGCTCGCTGGAGCACGGCCAGGTGGTGGGAGCGAGACGAGGAGCATGCCCCGGCGAGAACGACTCTGGGTTGACCGCCCCCATCTGTGCACCGGGCGAGCTGCTGCTCGAGTGCATCCGCCCCGAACACGCCCTACGAGTACTCTACCCTCGTCAGACCTCGCGCCTGAGCCATCGCCGCCGTTGCTCTTGCCCTCCCCACCCGCCTCCATCTCCTCGACCGTCTCGCGCCCTCTACACCTCAAGAACGACCAGGTTCTGCAGCCAGTACTTCAACTAAAAGCTAGTGCATCTCACCTACCTCTGTCTACTCGCGCAACTGGTGCGTTCCTCTCGCCTCCCCCTCGTCCGCGCGCTCGCTCGCTCACCTCGTCTCTTCTCGCGCAGCGTCAAGCCCGACAGTCGACAGCCTCGTCCTCCAGTTCACCGACCATGCCGCCACGAGCGCCTCTACCGCACACGGCCCACCTGCCGCCTCAAACTACGCAGCCCGCCCCACAATCGGCCGCCGCAGACGCCCTGTCGGTCATCCTCGTCACGGGCAGCTACGACGGCACGGTTCGGTGAGTTTCTCGCCCTCTCTTGTCGTCTCTACCACCGAGGGTCCGCCTCGTCCCGTCATAGCCGGCCTGGACTGACCTTTGCACCCCTCCTCCTCCTCCTTCTTCTTCTCCTCGCCGACGCGCAGGTACTGGGAGGCGTGGTCGGGCATCTGCAGCCGCACGATCCAGACTCAAGATCATGTGCGTCGGCTCTCTCCTCTTCTCCCGTACGATCCTGCCTCGGTCTCGCTCGAGAGAGAGGGCAGGGTTGTCGCGCCCCGGACCTCCCGACCTGACTCGTCCCGCCTCTTGAGCAGCAACCCAATCGCCTCGCCATCTCGCCCGACAAGCGCTTTCTCGCCGTCGCAGGCGTCGGCACCGTCAAGCTGTACGACATTGCCGCGAGCGCCGCCGCAAGCAGCGGCAACATCGCGCCGGTTCGTCTTCTCATCCGCTCTCCCCCGCTCTCATCCCCAGCAGCTCGACCAGCCGCACGAGGACGGTCGACTCGTTCAGTCGAAGCGCAGGCCTGACCCTTGCTTCACCCTCGCCTTGCGCGCGCAGCTCGTGACCCTGACCGGGCACACGGCCAACGTGACGAGCTTGGCGTGGCACGCCGAGGCCAAGTGGCTCGTCAGCGGCAGCGAGGACGGTACGGTCAAGATCTGGGACGTCCGGTGCGTCCCGTTCATCTCTCTTCTTCTGTCCCCTCGCCCATCATGCACCCCTCGACCTCTCGTCGCCCTCGCGCGCCCACCTCGTTCCGCCAACAGCCTGCCTCCTGCATTCCCTCGCTGACATCTCTCACGTCTACAGGACCGCGACGCCGCAGCGCAACTATGCGCATCACGCACCCGTCAACGACCTCGCGCTTCACTCGAACCAGGGCGAGCTCATCTCGTGCGACCAGAACGGCGCCATCAAGGTGTGGGACCTCGGCGGCGACCGCTGCAGCCACGAGCTTGTACGTCGACGGTCCCGTACTCTCTTTCCTCGTCGGCGGCCGTTTCGGCGGCGAGCCCTGTCGAGAAGGTATCGCGAGAGGTCGTCGCCGAACCTGAGCACTGACACTCCCGCCGCGCATCGACAGCTGCCTGAAGAAGACGTTCCGATGCGCTCTGTCTCGATCGCGTCGGACGGCTCGGCCCTCGTCGGCGGCAACCACAAGGTGCGTCTTCCCTTTCCTCCTCCCCCTCGAACCTCTCCCTATCTCGTCCTCTCGCTCACGCGCTCTCGAACGTGCCTGCAGGGCGTCGTCTACGTGTGGACGATCCAGCCTGGCCTCGCGTTCACCGACCTGCAGCCCAAGACGCGCTTCCAGGCGCACTCGCGGTACTTGATCCGGGTCCTCGTCTCGCCCGATACCAAGTGCGCCCTCTCTCTCTCTCTCTCTCTCTCTCTTCAACACGCCGAGCAGCCCTCTCTGACTCTTGCTCTCGCCCTCAGGCAACTCGCGACGTGCTCGGCCGACACGACGATCAAGATTTGGACGCCGACGGGCCTGCCGCCATCGGCCGCCGGCGTCGGCGCGCCGGGCGCACCAGGGGCGGCGAGCGGAGGAGGGATCGCAGACGGGACTGGGTTTCAGCTCGACAAGGTGCTGCAGGGGCATCAGCGGTGGGTGTGGGACATGGCGTACAGCGCAGACTCGGCGTACCTCGTCAGCGGTGCGTCCCTCTTTCTCTCCTTCAGCCCACGCTCTCGCCCCTTTCCTGGCGGACCCAACGAGCATTGACAATATCTCGAACGTGCGCAGCATCGAGCGATCACACGGCGCGGCTTTGGGAGCTCTCGAGCGGGACGACCGTGCGGCAAGTGGGTCGCCCTCTTTCGCTTCTTCGGCCCTCTCTCCTCTTTTCCCTTCTCTCTCTGAGCGAGCACTCACTCCAGCCCATTTTGATTTCGCAGTACTCGGCGCACCACAAGGCGTGCACGTGCGTCGCGCTCAACGACAGCTCGGCTTGAGCGAGGGAGAAGGGGAGCGAGCGGGGTCGAGTAGGGACGACGAGTCGCCGTGCAACGCAGACAGGTGCTGCCGTTTCCATTTGCGAGTCTGTGGACGATGCGAGAGAATCAGGTCCGTCGAGCGAGTACTCAATGTCGCTGCGAGCGAGAGCGGCACCTCGAGCTTTTCGATCTCTCGACGTGGGCGTGCCCGTCTCTCGGCGGCCTCAAAACTACGACGAGGGCGCTCTCGTGCACGCAAGAGTTTCAGCCTGTAGCAGCTACAGGTCCCACCGTCCCTCGCACGCTCGATCCTGCGCTGCTGGACCTTCCTCCTCCTCGCGAGGTCCGCATCGCTCCTGACGAGCGTAACGAGCGTGCGGCGCACGACAAGCACGTCGCGGTCGAGACGAGCGCGTCGCCCTCCTTGACCGACGAGTGAATGGCGCTGTCGAGGCAGGTCGAGGGCGTCGAGCGGACGAACAGCCGAGGGGCGACAAGTCGAGGTCGGCTCGAGGGGTATCGACGGGCGACCGGGAACGGCAGATGACGGGACGGGGTCGTCGCAGGGAGGATAGAGCCGCAGCGAATGTTGTTGACTGCGAGCGTGGGACAGGATCAATCGGTGCTACTCTGGAGTGACAGCTCGAGAGATGAGCGTGACGCGCCGCCACGAGAAGGAGAGCGACTCTGGAAGAGATGGACGCACCTGAAAGTCCCTGCTCCGCTCGACGAGCTAGTCGCTCGTCTTGCCCCGCTCGAACACCCTCACTCGCTCGCCGCCGCATCGTCGACCGCCGCCCGCTCAGCTCCCTCGCCGCCGGCTGCACGCCCTCGCCCGGCCTTGGCCGTGACAGCGTGCGGAAAGTTCTCCTTCCACTTGGCGTGCGCCCTACCGCCCATGCCGTGCGGTCCCTCGCCGTCGCGCCCGACAAAGCCCGGCTCTCGCCGTCCGTCCTCGCCCTGTCCCGCACCGAGGCCCTCGCGCACGGCCTCGTCGTCCTCGTCGGCGTACCACTCGCGCTTCCACACCTGGACGCGCTCCTTGACGCGCTCGAGCATCCACTCGGCGACGAAGAAGGCCTCGCGGCGGTGCGGGCTCGAGACGGCGACGACGATGCTCGGCGTGCGCGGCGGCGAGGGCCCGACGAGGTGCGCGACGTGCATGCGCCCGAGCTCGATGCGCGGCGGGCTCGCGTCGTCGTGGTCGGCGGCGTGCGAGTGGGGTCCGGAGCGGGCGCAGCAGGCGTGCGGTGCGGCGTGCGAGAAGGGTTCGGGTGGGGGCAGGGCGCGCGCCTCGGCGAACAGGGCGGCGAGCGTCTTGAGCGCGAGCGGGATGTACGCCTCGTAGGTGAGGTGCGTCACTTTGCGGCCTGCATGACACGAGGAGGACGAGGGTGAGGGATCCGCCGGCGCGAGGAGGAGGAGGAGGGGGGAGACGGGCGCACCCTGGAAGTTGTCGCGCGTGTAGCCGACCTGCAGAGGGATGCTCGAGCCAGCTACAGTCCCTAGAATGTCCCATGGAAGCGAGAGGGGACGCACGAATGAGACGACGGCGCCATCGCTCTCGTTGCGGAGCGACTCCTCGATGGCGGCCGGGTCGAGAGGGGCGTACGACAGGACGCCGACGTCGCCTTGCGGGTTCTCGATGCGGTGGACGTCGTCTTGAGCCATCTCGAGCAGAGGCGAGCGAGCGAGAGCGAGAGGTGTGGTCGGCGGGCGAGTGGCCAAGTAGGGCAGACGCCCAAGTTCAGCAGGGGGCAGTTCCGTGAGTCTGCGAGGACGCCTGCAGCTCGTAGACGCTCTCGCTCTCTCGTGCGCGCCGCCTCGCTCGCTGCCGGGTCACCTCTCGTCCTAACCTCGCTCGCTCGCTCGCTCTCCTCTCCTCTCTCCTCCTGGGCCGACTCGACACCGGGGTTTGGACGTTCGCCAGCACAACAACGCCGTTGCAGGGGGGCATGGGGTGGGGGAGGGAGGGTGCGAGAGGGTTGGTCGGGCGGGGCGGGAACAAGCACAAAAAGGTGGGGGACGGTCGAAAGAAGAGGCAAAGGGCCGAGTGTTTACTCTGCGCGTGCGGGTCGAGGTCAGTGCGTGTCGCGAGAGCAGGCAGAGGAGAGACAGAGAAGACGGACTCTTCTTGGCGGCCTCCTCCTCCTCGGCCTTGCGCTTGCGCTCGGCGCGGACGCCGACGAGGCGGGCGTTGGAGCGCGCGACGCGGAGCGCGCGGAAGGCGGCAAAGTCCTTCTCCTCGGCCGTGACGGCGCGCGGCTCCTCGAGGACGGCCGAGCCCTTGGGGATGGGGAACGCGGCGGCGACGTTCTTGACGCGCTCCGTGTCCTTGGACGCGTCGGCCGCGTCGCCGGCCTTGACCTTGCCGGCCTTCTTGGGGAAGACGACGAGGCGGGCCTTGTAGGCCTCGAGGCGCTCGACGTTGAGCTTGAGCGACTCCTCCGACTTGTTGCGGCGGCGGTGGTCGACGGGGATGCCGATCGAGAGGGCCTCCTTGGCGCGGACGCCGGCCTGCTTGAGCTCGGCCTTGGTGAAGCCGCGGCCGGCACGGAGCTTGCGGTTGTAGCGGACCGTCGGGGCACGGACAGCCGGGCGGAGGAGCTCAACCGGGCTGGGAGCGGGTGCGAGGCGAGGTCGAGGTCGGGCGGGCGAGGGCGCGAGGGGGCAGCGCAAGCGGGTGCGACAGGTCGACGTGCGGCGAAGAGGAGTGGTCGAGGGGCGGGAGGCAGGCGAGGGTAGAGCGAGTGGGCGAGGGGGGAGGAAGAGCGAGGTGAGCGCGCGAACGACGAGGAGCAAGAGGGACGAAGGGGACGCACCGGAGACCGGCCTTGGCAGCCTTGGCCTGGCGAGCGACGCGGCGCGAGTGCTTCTTGCCCGGCTGGTCGAACCACGTCTTGACGCGCGACTGCCAGTCCTTGCGGAAGTGGTTGCGGTGGAGGACGCTGCGAGGGGGGGATTTGGTGGTCAGCGGCCTCGTCCCAGGAGAGGCGCAGCTGCGGCAATGAGTGCCACAGCTGTGACGGGTAGAGAGGCGGTCGACTCACTTGTTCTTGCCGAACTGTGGGCGGGGACGAGGAGCGCAGGGTCGAGGGAGGAGGCGAGGGGAGGACCAAGGTCAGCTCGAGGACGCGGGCGACGGGGGGCCGGGCGAGACAGAGGGTGGACGCACACCCATCTTGACGAGCGGAGTGGAACTGCGCGGGTTGGCGAGGCAGGGAGGGGACGAGGGAGGGTCAGCTTGCGAGTCGGCGGTGGAAGGGGCGTGCTCACACGGCCGCAGTGCCCCGCCCGCCCTCGCGCTAGCTCGAGCCTCGGTACGCCACCGTGCGCATTCCCTCGAGTGTCCACCCTAACGACCGCTTGCACCAGACAGGGGCCCAGGGCGGGAGCGAGGCGGGTGGTTGGGCCGGGAACGAGTTCTCGCCTCGAGTCGGGGAGGGGCTCGGCGGCGGGCGGCAGGTGCTTTGCGCGGCTGGGGCGAGTCGTGTCGAGGGAGAGAGCAGACAGGGGTAGTGGCGCAGTAGCTCACGTTGGCGGACGAAGCGGGACGACGACGCAAAGAGAGGGACGAGCAGCGACCGAGGCGAGCGACGACGGCGTCTGGGAGGGAAGCCAGCCAGCCCCTCCGCTTCGCTCCCCACCTCACTCAAGGGCTGCACCGTTGCACTCGTTACAGCCTCTGCACCAACAGCGCCCCCTTTACCGAGCAACCTGCGCCCCAAGTGACCCGAGAGAGCGAGTCGCCCCCGTTCTCTGGTCGTCGTCGTCGTCGTTCGCTCGAGGCACACCCGCTCGTCGCCTCAACAACCTCTAGGCCTCCAGCCAGAACCGCGGCAAGCACTTCTACCCCGACTGGCATCAACTCGGCCGGCCCACGCCCAACCGCGCCCCGTCCAGCGTCCCTCCCGACCTCCTCCCCCTCCTCTCGCTCAACCTCTCTCCGCCCGACCGCACCCTCGTCAACGCGCCAGCGCATCCCGCCATGGTCCACTCGACCCGCTTTGCCCAGCTCAAATACGGTGCGCCCCCCTTTGTCCCCTTTCGCCGTCGAGCAGCGCCTGACCCTCTCCGTCCTCCTCCCCACCTCCCCCGACTCTCGCACCCGGCGTGCAGTCATCTTCAGCTGGCAGAACACGCCTTTGCTCAAGCGCGATGGCCTCGCGCGCGACTTCTTCCGCTCGCACGCCACCATGTCGACCCTCGCCAACTCGCTCGGCGGCTTCCCCTTGACCCTGTACGAGGCGACCCTCCCCGACTCGGTCACCGAGCTGTGGCTCGACGACGACCAGTGTCGCCGCCTCATCGCCCTTCTCGCCGACTCGATGGGGCCCTCGCGCGCCCAGTCGAGCTGGCGCGACTCGGCGTACCACTCGCGCGCCGTCCTCGAGCGCTCTGGCCATGGCCCCGTCGTCGCCCGCACGTTTGCGTCCCAGGCCGACCTCGAGCGTCACTTTGGCCACCTCAAGGACCAGGACGACTGGCACCACACCCGCCAACACTGGCGAGAGCTCAAGCGCGCCCAGGTCGTCTACCACCACCTCGTCGCGGCCGCCTCGTCGTCGTCGCCGCCTTCTACCTCGTCGCCGCCCTCGTTCGTCGCTGTCGACGTCGAGACGTGGGAGCAGGACCACGACCTCGTCACCGAGGTCGGCATCGCGGCCCTCGCCCTCGAAGCGGGCGACCCGTCGACCGCGTTCGAGCACCTCGTCCTCGCCGAGAACGCGCACCGCCGCAACGGCCGGTACTGCCCCGACGCGCGCGACGACTTTCAGCTCGGCACGTCCGAGACCCTCCCTCGCGCCGACCTCGCCGCACGCGTCGCGGCCCGCCTGCGCCTCCCTCCCTCGCCATCGTCCCGCCCCGGCCCCGTCTTCCTCCTCCTGCACGACTCGCGCGGCGACGTGCGCTCCCTCACCTCGCTCGGCCTCGACATGAACGCGTTCGAGCGCACGCCGCTCCTCCCCGCGCCCGAGGCCGACCCGACCGCCTACACCGACGTCGCCGGCGCCGGCTTCCTCCTCGACACGCAGCGCCTCTACTCGGGCTACAGCCGCCGCAAGCGCCAGGTCCGCCTCGAGGACGCCGTCCGCACCCTCGCCGTCGAGCTGCCCGCCTCGGCCCCGGGCGCCGGCGCCGCCGTCGCGTTCCACAACAGCGGCAACGACGCGTGGGCGACGCTCGACGTCTTTCGACGCCTCATGGACGTCCCCATCGGCGACGACCCAGATGAGGTCGTCCCTCCCGGATGGACCGAGGGCGGCAGGGCGGCGGCAGGAGCGGGAGCAGGCGGGGCGGCGCCGGCGCCGGCAGGGGCTCGTGCGCCGGGTGGGAGGTCGTCGCGAGGACGCGGGCGTGGCGGACGGGCGCCGCATAGCGTGCCGCAGCAGCAGGGTCACGGGCACGCGTCGAGCGCAGGGAGGGGGCAGCACGATCGTTGGCAGGGTGGGTCGTGACGGTGACCCTCGCCTCGTCGTCGTCAGTCGAGTGTCGGGGTCTCCCTCTCTCTCTTCCTCTCTCGCTTGCCTGCTTCGTCGTAGACCCTCTCCTTGTTGTTGCACCATCGTTCGCGCATGCTCTCCCTCGTCCTCTTCGTCCCCCTCGAGAGCTCGTCAGTCCTTCCGAGAGGCGCTCGCTCTCCTCGCCGAGCAGCTCGAGTCTCTCCCGGACGCTCTCGCACAGTGTGTCAACATCCGTCTGCGATACGTGTTCGGCTCCATAAGCAGCTACAGGCCCTCGTCTCGACGCTCCCACCCTCTCGACCCGCTCCACCCGTCTGCCCGTCCGACAAAGAACGCGTGGTCGCACACGGCGTCGGCGCTCGGCCGCTCGGCCGCGTCGATCTCGAGGCACCGCCGCACGAGATCGACCGCGTCGCTCATGCGCGGCGCCGCCTCGTCGGCGCCGTCGTCGAGGCGCGCCTTGGCGCGCAGGGCCGCGAGCGCCCTCGTGTCGGGCCCGAGGCCCTGCATCGCCTCGTCGGGCGACCAGAACGGGCATTCGCCGCAGATGAGGACGTAGCCGAGGACGCCGAGGGCCCAGATGTCCTGCTCCTTGCCGCTGTACCTCGCGCCCTTGAGCACCTCGGGGGCGGCAAAGCTGCAGGCGGGCAACGACAGCGTCAGTGAGGGCCACGAGGACTCGTCGACGTGCGAGGGGAGAAAGGGAAGGGAGAGGAAAGAGAGAGAAAGAGAGAGACGCACTCGAGCGTGCCCGAGAACGTGTCGAATTTGCGGCCCTCCTTGACGTACGCCGCGCTGCCAAAGTCGATGAGGCGGACGTTGCCCTCGGGGTCGAGCACGACGTTCTCGTCCTTGATGTCGCGGTGCACGATCGAGTGCTCGTGGAGGAAGCACACGGCGTCGGCGATCTGGGCGAGGATGCGCTGCAGCGGCGCCGGCCCGAGGCCGTCCGGGTGCGCGTCGACGAAATCGAACAGGTCCTGGCCGTGTCGAGGTTGCGCACCGTGTGTCGGCTCGGCGGTCGCAGACGGCATGACCTGCGAGGGCGACGAGGAGGGTCAGTCGTCGGACTCGAGGGGACGAGGGCGAAAGAGAGGAAGGGCGGCGAGCGCGACGCACGAGGTAGTAGTAGTGGGCGTCCTCCCAAAAGTCGAGGAGCGGACACACGTTCGGGTGGCCCGTCTGGACCGGCGCGCCGTCTTTGCCGCCGTGCCACAGGTCAAGCTGCGGCGCCGAGTCTCGGCGGACGTGCGCGCCGGGCGGGCCCTTGCGCGCTCCTCCTGCACCGCCGCTGCGCCGCGACAGGTAGTTGAGGCGAGGTCGAGGCTCGTACGGCACGCGCCGCAGGTGGTCGAGGACGTGCACCTCGATCGGGATGGGCCCGAGGATCTTGTGCTTCTTCCAGCAGTCGGCGAGGATGCGCTGCTTGATGACGTACTTGACGACGAGCTCGGGCTGCACACGGACCCGCATAATGTCAGTGCGCATTCGCAGAGAAGGAAGGACGAGAGGGAGAGACAGGAGGGGACGCACGCCGATGGGCTTTCCGTCCGGGCCCTTCTCGCGAGCCCTCCTCACGCTGCCGTACGCGCCCTTGCCCGCCTCGCCGTCCTCGCACATGAACGCCTCGATGTCGCGCAAGCCGGTCACGGCCGAGTAGGTGCGCGGGTCGACCGGGCCCGACGGTCGCGCCCAGTCGAGCGAGACGGCGCCGTTGTCCTGCTGCGGCGGCGACGGGCTCGTGCCGGCTGCAGCGGGCTCGGGCGCGCTCGGCGCAGCATCGACGACGCCGGGCGTGGGCGGGAGGCTGGCGTCGGCAGGAGCGCTCGACGAGAACGGGTCGCCGTCGAACGGCGTCGCCGCGACCGAGGGCGGCGTCATGAAGCCGTCGACGCCCAGGCCGGTCGGGGCGCGCGAGTCCTCGCCGAGGGCCCGCAAGACCTGCGGCGGGAGCGGGATGTGGGGCATGCCGTGCTTGGTCGCGCTCGTCGGGTCGCCGTCGTGGCCGGGCGCATGTCCCGCCTCGGGCGCGTCGCCGACGCCTCGCACCTCGGTCCCGCCCGACTCGACGCTCGTGCTGCCGCTGTGCGGGATCGGCGGCGAGCTAAGGACGCCCGTCGCGGTGCTCAGGCTGCCCCGGCTCAGGGCCGGCCGGCTCGTGTGCGCGAGGGCCTGCGCCGACGAGAGCGAGATGGACGGCTCCGACTTCTGGCCGGCGCGGTGCGACGGCTGGAACGCGGTCGAGACGGTCGAGGGCGAGGTCGAGGTGGACGTGGCGCGTGACGACGACGACGACGAGAAGCCGCCCGGGAGCGGCTCGCTGCCCGACGCGACCATGGGTGGCGCCGACAGCATCGACGACGCCGAGGACGAGGTCGGCGCCGTGTGGGACGACGGCGCGAGGGCATTGCGCGACAGGGACGACGTGTTCGAGTGCGAGGTGAAGCCTCCCGTCACGCCGCTGCCCGTCGAGGTGTACGAGAACGACGACTTGTAGGCGGCGACGGGTTTAGGGCGGAGCGGCGGTGACGAGGAAGGGGAGGGCTGCTGCTCGGCGGTGGCGGCGGCAGCCGCGGGAAGCGGCGGCGTGTGCGGGAGCTGGTGCTTGTCGTTGCCGAGCGACGAGAGCGACAGCGACAGGGCAAAGTGGCTGTGGTTGTCGTCCTCGTCGTCGTCCTCGTCGTCGTCGTCCGTCAGGGACGGCCACCGTTTCCACTTGGGCGCCTTGCGGCCCTCGCGCTCCTGCGACGCCGCCGCCTCCTTCTCGGCCCGCCGCTCGAGCGCGACCGCCTCCTCCTGCTGCGCCTGCTTGGCCCGCAAGCTCGCGAGGTCGCTCAGCTCGCTCCCGAGCACGCGCCACTCCTCGGTCGTCGGCGTCACGACGAGGCCGCCGTCGACCTCGGGCGGCCCGAGCCCGGTCGTCTGGAGCGAGATGCCCATCGCCGTCGCGCGACGAGAGGCCGCGCGCGAGCGGGGCCGACTCGTCGCTCGCTCGGCGGCAACGGCGTCGGCCGGCCGAGCGCCGTCGTCGGTCGCCGCCAGAGAGCCCGCCTCGGTCGAGCTGGGCCCGAGCGAGAAACCCGCGCCGGGCGAGAACAGGCTCTGGCTGCGGGCGCTCGCGTAGTACGGCGCCGAGGCCTGGCGGCGCTTGTGCTGGATGAACTGGGCGAGCGAGGTCGACGTCGAAGGAAAGGACGAGTGCGCAGGGGACGCGGGGTCGGTGGGAGGGAGGGACGAGGGCGAGGACCGGCCAGACGAGCGGTTGCTCGCCGGCATGTCTCGAGGGGACGAGATGGGCGAGGGCGATGCCGAGGCCGACGCGAGCGTCGGGAGGGCCGCGGGAAAGGTTGAGCGGCGGTCCTTGCGCGCCTGCTTGCCGTCGACGGCGGGCGCGAACGACGAGTCGGCGCTGCTCGTGCTCGGCGCGGTCGAGCCGGAACCGGTGCGCTCGCGCTCCGACGACTGGTCGCTGCGGCAGTGCCGCGCGCGCTCGTCGTCGCTGCTGCTGCTGCTGCTGCTCGCGCTCGGCCGACGGGACCCGCGCGGGCTCGCCGTGCCGCGTCCGCCGTGCGCCGTCGACGAGTTGCTCGGGTCGATCGGCGCAAGTGGCGCCAGAGGACGTAGCGAGCCTGCCCTGGGGCTGCTGGGCAGGGCGGCGGCGGGCGTGCGCGGCGATAGGGCGAGCGAGGCGAGGGTCGCGAGCTGGGACGACGAGCGCGAGTGCTGGCGCGACTGGGTGCCGTACGACGGCCGCTCGGGAGGCGCGGTGACGGGTGCCGAGGATGTCGGCGGGGCGAAAGAGGTCGCAGGTGCCGACATGGCGGACAGGGTGGGGGCGGAGCTGCATCGAGGAGGAGAGGGACAGGGTCAGGACGCTGCGCCGGTGCGGAAGTACCGGTGCGCTGCCGCGACAGAGACCGAGCACAACGGTCGTCCTCGCACACGCCAGCCGCTGCTCGCCCCGATGCGAGGGCGACGCGGTCTGTCGTCGTCGTCGTCCAGTGACCTCCACCGCGGCGCCGCCGTCTCTGGCCCATGGTCGCGACATGCGGGCGCGCACGAGGCATGGGCAAGAGATGGTGCTCACCTTGCTGCTGTGCACCAGAGCGCTGCACTCGACCGGTGGCGGGTGGACGAGGCTGGACGGGCGGGATGCTGGGGCGTGAAAGCGCGGTTACCGGCGTGGGCGGGCTTGCGGTTGGCGAGGGGCAGCTCGGGTGCGGCTTGTGCTGGACTGGTGCGCTGGCGGAGTCGTTGTCTCGAGGTGCGCCGAGCTGTCGGGGACGAGACTCGGGGGGGGGTCCGTCCTCGTTCGTCTCTTGCCGCCGCCCGCGCCGTCGCCGCCCACTCGCCTTTTCAGAGTCGCGCTCTCTCTCTAGAGCTGCTCTGGCCAGAGACGATACTGCGTCTGTACACCTCGCTCGTCACAACGCTCGTCACCTCGACGACCAACCGCCGCCCTCGTACCCCGCCAATTTCATCCGCCTCTCCGCGCACCAACCTCCGCAATCGTCCAACCTTGCTCCCTTTCACAGCTTGCCCTCCCTCGCCTCGTTGGCGACCGTCTCCTTGGGCGCAGCGGTCGGCAGCTCCTTGTAGTTGTCCGACGCCGTCGCCGACACCTCCTTGCCGTCGAGCAGGCCGTCCTCCTCAATCTCCTGCGCAGCGCACACCCGGCCAGTCGAGGTCAGTACTGCGCCCTCGACTCGAGAGGGATAGAGGGAGAGAGAGAGAGTCGAGCGCACCTCGACGAACGTAAAGTCCCACCTGCGCTCCTCGCCTCGCTCCATAAAGTCGGTCCGCCCGTCCCACTCCCTCGTCCACTGCTTGCCCTCGCCGGCCTCGCCCCCGAGGGCCCTCGAGAACTTGCTCACGCTGCACGTCGCTGCGCCGACGCTCAGCCGCTCGCCGTCATTCCACTCGCCGAGCGGCTCGACCTCGCCCTCCTTGGCGCCCGCGAGCAGCTCTCGCGGCAGGTCCTCGGCGAACGCGCGCGACAGCGCAATCACGGTCGCCGCGTGTGAAAAGACGACGACGGTCTTGGCGCCTCGCGCTTCGAGCGCCTCGACGAGCGCGCGCGACAGGACGTCGCACCGCGCGTGGACGGCCCGGATCGACTCGCCGGTCCGAGGAGGCATGACGAGCGGCGACCACGGGTCGAGAGGCGCGGTAGAGCGGGCCGAGGACGGCTGCGAGTCGTCGACGAGCGGAAAGTACTGCTTGAGGAACGACGCCGACGCGAGCGCCGGGTGCAGGCCGCGGCGGACGGGGAGGTACCACTCGGCTGTTGACGGGCAGACTCAGTGTGGGCCGCTCGGCACTTGTGAGAGACGAGGGACGCACCGAGGCCAGGCTCGATGAAGATGGGTAGGTCGAGGGCTTGAGCTGTCGGCGTCGCCGTCTGGACGCAGCGGTACAAGGGACTGCAGGGCGGGCAAGGGCGTGGTCAGTTGATCTCCTCGGTACCGTGCGCTCAGGTAGAATGTCGCGAGCGCACCTGCTGAGGATGACGACGCCCTTCTCGCGAGCCTCCTCCTTGCTCGAGACGCCGAGCTCCTCCTTCAGGAACGCGGCGAGCTCCTTGGCCTGGTCGACGCCGTGCGACGACAACGGCGGGTCGCGAGGGATGCCTGTCGGCGATTTCCAGACCGACGTCTCCCACGACAGGCTGCGGTGCAGGAGTGACGGTGTGGTCAGCCCGGCTCGAGAGGCAGATTGGGGGAGGGCCGGGGGTGGGGGCTAGAGGGGGAGCTGGGACGCACCGAAAGCCATGCCGACAGATGTAGACCTGCTCGAGGACCATGGTGAGGAGGGAGGGTCGAAAGTCGGGTGGGCGAGCTGATGAAGCCGGGTCGGGTGGGAGAACGAGAGGGCGGCGAGTGTGGCTCGGCGGGCGAGTCCGGGTCGGTCTAGAGAGAGGCTCTAGTTGTGTAGCAGGCGTCGGTAGCCGTGCGCAGGGTGGCTGAGGAACGCAACTCGTCCTCCTCCTCCTCGCCCGCGACGAGGGGAGCGCGCTAGCTCTCGAGAACCCACGCATCCTGTCTTTCTCTCTCGCAGACGCGAACACGTCCGTAGAGGTACTGCTGGATGCATTGCTCGTTGCGCCGCTCGTCCTCCTTTCCCTCGCGCTCGCCTCGAGAAGGCGGCCTCACGTTCAGCCAATCTTGGCCTTCGAGAAATCCATCTCCGGGTGCTGCTCCTGAAACTTGCGGAGCATCTGCGGACCGTGAGGTGCGAGGGAGAAAGAAGGACAAGTTCAGTCATGGTCGCGAGAGGGAGAGCCAGAGGTGACGGCGAAGGGGGACGGCGAGACGCACCTCGGCCTTGCGCTGCTCGTCGGACGACGGCTTGCCCATTTGCTGCGACGTGTGAGAAGGCGAGTCAACGACGGCCGTCTGTCGACGCGAGGCCGAGAACCCGAGGCGTCTGCTCGAGACGAGAAAGAAGGCTCGAGAGGCCCGTGACGCACCTTCTGCTGGTTGTCGTACTGCGGCGTGAGGCAGGGAATAGCCAGTATCTGATCCCTCGTTCTTGCGGTCCGACACGGCCTCGCACCGCGACACCCACACGAGGAGGGAAGGGGAGGGGACGCACCATCATCTTCTCGACCATGGCGCGCGTCTCGCCGTCGAGGTCGCTCAGCTTGGAGTTTTCGGGCGTGATCTTGGTCGTGTCGATCTTGGGCGCGCTCGTGACGACGTGCGGCCACCATGACTGCTGGTCCACCTTCTCGAGCGAGATGGTGACCTCGCGCGAGTCGTCTGCGGGCAGGGGACGAGGGAGAGGCAGATGGGGGCCAACGAGGGTGAGCGCAAGGTCCTTATGAGGTAGGCAGACCTGGCAACAAGGAGGAAAGAGGGGCGCACCGAGGGTCCAGGTCGAGTCGTCGACCTTGATCTCCTTGGGGAACGTCCCCTCGATGACGGGTGGCTCGCCCTTGAGGCCGACGCGAATGGAGTCTTTGCGCAGGACGACGTCGAGCTGCTTGCCGCGAGTCCCGGGCGGCACAGGGACCGAGACCGTCACGTCGTTGAGCGTTTGGCGCCAGCGGTAGGGGAGGGCTGCGAGGAGGAGAGGCGCGCTCGTCAGTACATCGTTCAATGGACGGGTTGCTGACGGCTCCTCGCGACGACCGTGCGCCCAGCCGTGCTTGATCCCGCAGCGTGCTGGGCCCGCAAGAACAGCACCGCCTCGTTCACTCGAACCTCGGGGGCCTGCGCTCCCTGACCTGGTCCAACCTGCGCGTGCGCTGCACCGATCCGACAGGTAGGCTGCTCGTGCGCTGCTCGACGGTCCCGGCCCTCGTCGCGAGCAGTCGTGAGGGAGGGCCGGTTCGGGGCGGAGCTGACCATCTTGCTCGCGGCGCTCGCGCTCTGCGTTGGCGGCGTCAAGCTGCTTCTGCTCGACCTCGCTCAGCTCGGGCGGCACAGAGTCGACTGGTGCGGTGGAAGCCATGGTCGAGGTGGTGGGAGAGGGCAGAGAGGTTGATCAAAAGTCCGCGGAGTCGCTCGGACGCTCCTCTCACTCTCTCGTATCGACTTGATCGCGGTGATAAGGCGGATCTTAGACTGCGTACGGCAGGTCGATCTCGCTGTGGCCTGTCATGTACGAGCTCGAGTCGTGCAAACTGTGAGATTCGGCGGCTGCCGGATGACAAACTCGAGCGAACTGCCGACGACGACGACGACGGCGTTCATCTCTCTTTCCTCCCTCACCCTCTCACTCTTCTCGCCATCTCAATGTGCGTACCATCACAGATTTCGCCACACTCTAGCCTGCGCGACGAGCTGACTTCCCCCGTCTTCTCCCCCTCGTTGCCGCCATCCCTCGCCTTCCATCGCACTCCGCCACCATCTGCGCCTCCCTCGCCCACCCTGCCCACTTGCGACTACTGCAGAAACATGGTTGCCCTCGTTCAGCGTCCCGCCCCGGCCTTCGAGGCCACCGCCGTCGTCGACGGCTTCTTCGAGGTGCGCTCCCTCCCCTCTCTCGTCTATCTTGCGAGGGTGGCCGGCCGTGCGTGCTCGCGCAGTAGCCGCCGATGCAGGCCCCGGCTCGCCGCCATGCGCTCGTTCGCGTGTCGGCCGTCACGAACCCCCCTCGGCTTCGAGCATGTTGCTGACCCGCACCTCCTCCTTCTCGCAGACTGTCAAGAACGCCGACTTCCTCGGCAAGTGGCTCGTGCTCTTCTTCTACCCGATGGACTGTGAGCACTGTCTCTCCCGCGATCGTCCTCTGTGGTCCCGGGACCTCACGCTGACCATCTTCCGCCCGTCCTTCTCCTCCTTCGCCCGCGCCGACCTCCGACCCTGCCTCCTGCACACCGTTGCACACGACTAGTCACCTTCGTCTGCCCGACCGAGATCCTCGCCTTCAACGAGCGCCTCGCCGACTTTGAGAAGCTCGGCGCCGAGGTCCTCGCCGTCTCGACCGACTCGGAGTACTCGCACCTCGCGTGGGCCAACACCAAGCGCGACGAGGGCGGCCTCGGCCCCAACCTCAAGCTCAAGCTCGTCGCCGACAAGAGCATGAAGATCTCGCGCGACTATGGCGTCCTCCTCGAGGACGCCGGCGTCGCCCTGCGCGGCCTGTTCCTCATCGACCCCAAGGGCACCCTCCGCCAGATCACGATCAACGACCTTCCCGTCGGCCGCTCGGTCGACGAGACGATCCGCCTCATCAAGGCGTTCCAGTTCGTCGAGGAGCACGGCGAGGTGTGCCCGGCCAACTGGGACGAGGACAAGAACAACGCGACCATCAAGCCCGACCCGACCGCGTCCAAGGAGTACTTCTCGACCGCCAACAAGTAAGGCGCACGCGTCCTCCTGCCCCCTTCCCTTCCTCCCCCACCCCCTCGTTACACCTCCCTAGACCTCGCCTCGTAGACAAGATTCTCCCTCCCTCTCTCTCGCTCCCTCCCTGTGCATGAACGACATATGTGACTCGCATCGAGGTCGTTGGGCGCGACGAGAGGCTCTGCCCACACCCGCAGCTGCGTCCCCTGTCTCCTCGCTCGAGAACACGGCGCTGACTCGTTCTCTCCTCCTTTCCTCCTCGCCCGCCTCGCACCTTCTGCTTCTCCCCGCTCGTCGTCGCCCGCTATTGCTGCGTCGCGCTCTGTCGCCGCTCAGGCGCGAGAAGACGGCGTCGCCTCAAGCAGCGAGCAAGAAGCTTCGGACCGCCTGAGCTCCCGGACCCTCTCTCCCACTCTCTCTCTCCCCCTCTCGCACGCCCCTGCATCCCCTCGTTCTCTCCATCATGACTCGCACGAGCAGTATATTCCCCTCCTGGCACCCCGCAGCGTCGAGCTGCAGCCTGCAAAAGAGCGCGTTCGAGCCTCGACCCAATTCCTCGTGAGCTGTCACACTGGCCTCTGATCGGTCCCGCTTTGACGAGCAGAACGAAAGCGAGAGTGACAGTTGTCAAGGTTAGACAGGGCCGAGGCAGCAAGAAAGCGCTGCAGGCTGAAGCGACCGCGCAGAGCAGGCTCGCGCGGGCCTCGACGGCTGCTCGCCCAGAGCGGAAGACGGCGGGTGCGCAGCTTCGCCGTCGCGCGCTCGTAGCAGCTGGAGCTTCGACAGCGGTAACGAGGGAGCAACAAGCTGGCTTTGAGACGAGGGAGGCTCGGGAGCGCTGCTCGAGCGTCGACTCGACGGCCGGCCGGCGAGTCGGCGGGCTCAGGCCGGCAGAAGCTCAACAGACGAGGTCGAACGAGCTCGATGTGCCTGCAGCAGATGCGCGAAAGGAGAGCGGGCACGTCCAAGCGAGGAGAGAGAAGCAGAACGTCGCCGAGAGAGGGCCGGCCGAGTTGGCGGCGGACCGACGGAATCGACGGGGTCCGGCTTGGCCGGCGATTGCGGCCGGCGCAGAGGCAGAGACTGAAGCGTTGTGATTGGTCGGAAGCGACAGCGCGAGACGAGCCTCGACCGCGAAGGAAGAGCAGCGGGAGGGAACGGGGGGATGCAAAAGGTGCACGAGCAGGCACAGCGCGTGCGCCGCTCAGGTGACCCAGGTGCACACAGCGCAGCGCACGGAACTCGAGTCAGGTGGCCGTCGTGGAAGGGTGGAAAGCGCTCGCGGCTGTTGGTCGACGAGGAGGCGGGAGCTGAGGGGAGCCTGCAGGGAGGGCGAGGGAGGGCGCAGAGGGCGAGGGGCGAGGTCACAGGGTGCAGCAAGCGCAGCCGAGGGAGAGCAGAGCCGGCTCGATGGACAGGGAGAGCGAGAGAGAGAGCGAACGGCGTCTTCTTGAGCGTGTTGCCCCTTATCTCGTCCCTCGCTCCCTCCCTCTCCCTCGCCTCGCCAAAGCTTCGACACCAGCTCGACCTAGCGCGACCTCGTCTCTCGACCCGTCCACCGCGCGCCTTTCAAGCACCGCGCCCGCGTCGCTCTTCCCCGTGCACCCGCGCACCCCCCCACCTCGTCCCTCCACCCACAGCCACCCGTCCTCGCTGTGCGCCGTGTGATGGCCCCGACCCTCGCCCACGCCACCCCTGTCAACCACCAGCACCACCCGGGCCCCGACGATCACGCCGGCGACGATGCCGCCCTCGCCCGCCTGAGCGCCGCCCGCGACCACTCGTCCGGCTCGGGCGCATCCCTCGACTCGGCTACCGCGACCGACGCCGACGACCGCGGCCCGCACGCAGAGGGCGTCCTGCGCGACGACGTCCTCGGCGGCCTCCCCGCCAAGCAGGGCCTGTACAACCCGGACGAGGAGAAGGACGCCTGCGGGTGAGTCCGCACGTGCTTCTCGACGACCCGCTCTCTCCATCCAGCCTAGACTGACTCTCTCGTTCGCCCCGTCCGCAGTGTCGGCTTTGTCTGCCACATCAAGGGCAAGCCGTCGCACAAGGTGCGCCCTCGTCCTCGTCCTCGGCCCGTGCGGGCGCCTCGTCCGGTTACCGGTTCCCTCGACAATCGCTGACCCTGTGCACCCTATCCGCGCAGATCGTCAGCGATGCTCGCAACCTCCTCTGTGCGTCCCTTTCGACGCGGCGTCCAGCTCGAGCGCCTCGGGACTAACTCGCCGTGTTTCTCCTCCTCGCAGGCAACATGACCCACCGCGGCGCCACCGGTGCCGACTCGCGCGACGGCGACGGCGCAGGCGTCATGGTCGGCATCCCGCACGGCTTCTTCGTGCGCGAGGGCGAGCGCGACCTCGGCGTCAAGCTCCCGGCCGAGGGCGAGTACGCCGTCGGCAACCTCTTCTTCCGCAAGCCGACGACGCCCAACTGGACGCGCGACCCGGCCCTCAAGCAGCAGAAGGCGACGTTCACGAGCCTCGCCGACAAGCTCGGCCTGCGCGTCCTCGGGTGGCGCCACGTCCCCGTCGACTCGACCCTGCTCGGCCCGGCGTCCTTCTCGCGCGAGCCCATCATCCTCCAGCCGTTCGTCGTCCTCAAGAACCACTACGGCGCCGACACGACCGAGTCGCAGGGCGGCGACCTCGACGAGAAGCAGTTCGAGCGGCAGCTGTACGTCTTGCGCAAGCACGCGACGCACACGCTCAAGCTCGAGAGCGGGTTCTACATCTGCTCGCTGTCGACCAAGAACATCGTGTACAAGGGCCAGCTGTCGCCCGTCCAGGTGTACGCCTACTACCACGACCTGAACCACGTCCTGTTCGCGTCGCACTTCTGCCTCGTCCACTCGCGGTTCTCGACCAACACGTTCCCCTCGTGGGACCGCGCGCAGCCCATGCGGTGGGCCGCCCACAACGGCGAGATCAACACGGTGCGCGGCAACAAGAACTGGATGCGCGCGCGCGAGGGCAGCATGCGCTCCGAGCGCTTCGGCGACGAGCTCGAGCTCCTGTACCCGATCATCGAGACGGGCGGGTCCGACTCGGCCGCGTTCGACAACGTCCTCGAGCTCCTCATCGTCAACGGCGTCCTCAAGATGCACGAGGCCGTCATGCTCATGATCCCCGAGGCCAACTCGACCGAGATGGAGCCCGAGAAGCGCGCCTTCTACCAGTGGGCGTCGTGCGTCATGGAGGTGCGTCCCCTCTCTCTCGAGCACGAGTCCGAGCCTCGAGCCCTCCTGACCCTCTCCTCGTCCTTCGCGCGCCCTCTCGCAGCCCTGGGACGGTCCCGCCCTGTTCACGTTCTCGGACGGCCGGTTCTGCGGCGCCAACCTCGACCGCAACGGCCTGCGCCCGTGCCGCTGGATCACGACGACCGACGACATCATCATCTGCGCGAGCGAGGTCGGCACGATCGCTGTCGAGCCCGAGAAGGTGACGCGCAAGGGCCGCCTCCAGCCGGGCAAGATGCTCCTCGTCGACACGCTCGAGGGCCGCATCGTCGACGACAAGGAGCTCAAGATGTCGACCGCGCGTCGCCAGCCGTTCGCCAACTGGATCGCCAACGAGCTCCTGCGCCTGCCCGACATCATGGCCAAGGAGCGCGCCAAGGGCCACCAGCTGTCGGTCCCGCTCGACGAGAGCTCGGTGTCGACCGACCCGCGCCTGCTCGCCGAGGGCTACTCGTTCGAGCAGCTCGACCTCCTCCTGCGCCCGCTCGTCAACGAGGGCAAGGAGGCGCTCGGCTCGATGGGCAACGACGCGCCGCTCGCCTGCATGGCGACCGCGCCCCGCCTCGCGTACGACTACTTCCGCCAGCTCTTCGCCCAGGTCACCAACCCGCCGATCGACCCCATCCGCGAGGCGATCGTCATGAGCCTCGACATCTCGCTCGGCAACGAGGGCAACCTCCTCGAGATGTCGCAGGCCCAGGCCTCGCGCCTGCACCTCACGTCGCCCATCCTGTCGGTCGAGGAGACCGAGGCCCTCAAGAAGCTCGGCGCCGTGTACCCGGCGTGGCAGGAGCGCACGATCGACACGACGTTCACCAAGGACGAGGGCGTTGCCGGCTACGCCGCCGCCCTCGACCGCGTCTGCTCCGAGGTGACCGAGGCCGTCGAGCAAGGCGTGCGCGTCGTCGTCCTGTCGGACCGGGCCCTGTCGGCCGACCGCGTCGCCCTGTCGAGCGCCGTCGCGACCGGCGGCGTCCACCACCACCTCGTGCGCACCAAGCAGCGCAGCAAGATCGCCCTCGTCGTCGAGAGTGCCGACGCGCGCGAGGTCCACCACGTCTGTGTCCTCATCGGCTACGGCGCCGACGCCGTCTGCCCGTGGCTCTGCTTCGAGGCGCTCCTCAAGATCCGCCGCGAAGGCCTTCTCAAGGTGCGTCCTCGTTCACTCTCTCTCTCCCTCTCCCTTTCTCTGCCTCCCATGTCTTAACTCTCGTCGTGTACGTACGAGCGGTGAGCACGCACTGATCCTCATTGCCCTCGTCATCGCGCGCCCGTACAGGTCGACCTCACCGACGAGCAGGTCGTCAAGAACTACATCGCCGCCGTCAACAACGGCATCCTCAAGGTCCTGTCCAAGATGGGCATCTCGACGCTCGCCGGGTACCGAGGTGCGTCCCCTCTCGCCGTATCGAAAGAGACCCGAGCTGACCTTGCCCCCCTCCTTCCCCATCTTCCCTCGCTCCTCCTTCTGCCTCGACTATCCCCTCCCTCTCGCATGCCTCGTCCCCCTCGCCTCCTCCGTTCGACATGTACACGTTCTCTCTCCGCAGGCTCGCAGATCTTCGAGATCCTCGGCCTGCACGCCGACGTCGTCGAGAAGTGCTTCCTCGGCACGGCGTCGCGCATCTCGGGCAGCGGCTTCGAGCTTCTCGCCCTCGACGCCCTCGAGCTGCACGAGCGTGGCTACCCGTCGCGCGAGACGGTTTGCGCACCCGGCCTGCCCGAGACGGGCGAGTACCACTGGCGCCTCAACGGCGAGGCGCACATCAACGACCCGGCGAGCATCGCCTCGCTCCAGGACGCCGTCCGCGAGAAGAACCAGAAGTCGTACGACGCGTACTCGGCCAACGCTCGGCGCCAGGTCCGCGCCGTCACGCTCCGAGGCCTCCTCGACTTCGACTTTGAGCAGGCCGACCCGATCCCGCTCGAGCAGGTCGAGCCGTGGCACGAGATCGTCAAGCGCTGTGTCACGGGCGCCATGAGCTACGGCTCGATCTCGATGGAGGCGCACTCGAGTCTCGCCGTCGCCATGAACCGCATCGGCGGCAAGAGCAACACGGGCGAGGGCGGCGAGGACGCCGCACGGTCCGAGATCATGCCCAACGGCGACACGATGCGCTCGGCCATCAAGCAGATCGCGTCGGGCCGGTTCGGCGTCACGAGCGCCTACCTGAGCGACGCCGACGAGCTTCAGATCAAGGTGCGCCCCGAGTCCTGCCCTTCCTCTCGAGCTCTTTCGAGTCGGTCACTCACGCCGTGCCTCCTTCCTCCTCTTTTCGCAGATGGCGCAAGGCGCCAAGCCCGGCGAGGGCGGCGAGCTGCCCGGCCACAAGGTGTCGAAGAGCATCGCCCGCACCCGTCACTCGACGCCGGGCGTCGGCCTCATCTCGCCGCCGCCGCACCACGACATCTACTCGATCGAGGACCTCAAGGAGCTCATCTACGACCTCAAGTGCGCAGTGCGTCGGCTCGTTCCTCCCCTCGTCGACCGAGCGGAAGAAGCAGATCCTGACTCGACCTTCTCAAATCCCGTCTTCCTCCTTGCAGAACCCTCGCGCCCGCATCTCGGTCAAGCTCGTGTCCGAAGTCGGCGTCGGCGTCGTCGCGTCGGGCGTCGCCAAAGCTCGCGCCGACCACATCCTCGTGTCGGGCCACGACGGCGGCACGGGCGCGTCGCGATGGACCGGCATCAAGTACGCCGGCCTCCCGTGGGAGCTCGGCCTCGCCGAGACGCACCAGACGCTCGTCCTCAACGACCTGCGCGGCCGGGTAACGCTCCAGACCGACGGGCAGATCCGCACGGGCCGCGACGTCGCCATCGCGACCCTCCTCGGCGCAGAGGAGTATGGCTTTGCTACAACACCCCTTATCGCCTTGGGCTGTGTCATGATGAAAAAGTATATAACGCGTCGTTCTGGGACGTTCGGGGACGATGAACTGACCATTTTCGACCTGCAGGTGCCACCTCAACACGTGCCCGGTCGGCATCGCGACCCAGGACCCGTCGCTGCGCGCCAAGTTCACCGGTCAGCCCGAGCACGTCATCAACTTCTTCTACTACGTCGCCGAGGAGTTGCGCAGCATCATGGCCAAGCTCGGCTTCCGCACGATCAACGAGATGGTCGGCCGGGCCGACCTTCTCAAGGTCGACGAGGCGCTCCGCAACCCCAAGACGGCCAGCCTCGACCTGTCGGCGCTCCTCAAGCCGGCGTGGGAGATGCGCCCCGGCGTCGCGACGTACAAGGCCGTCGCGCAGGAGCACAAGCTCCACCTCCGCCTCGACAACAAGTGCGCCCCCTTTTCTCTCTCCCTCCCTCCCTCCTTGTACTGACCCTCTCGATTTCGTGTACAGGTTCATCATGGAGAGCGAGCTCGCGCTCACCAAGGGCCTGCCCGTCCGGATCGACTGCGAGGTCGTCAACACTGAGTGCGTCCCCCTGCTTCCCCTTCCTCTCCTCCCCTCCCCTGGCGCCCCTCACTCACCTCTCGCTCGACCCACAGTCGTGCTCTCGGTACCACCCTGTCGAACCACGTCTCGAAGCGCTACGGCGAGGACGGCTTGCCCAAGGACACGATCCACATCGTCGCCAAGGGTTCGGCCGGCCAGTCGCTCGGCGCGTTCCTCGCTCCTGGCATCACGTTCCGCCTCGAGGGCGAGGCCAACGACTACGTCGGCAAGGGCCTGTCGGGCGGCCGCATCATCGTCTACCCGCACGAGAGCTCGACGTTCAAGGCCGAGGAGAACATCATCGTACGTCTTCTCTCTCTCGCTCTCTGCCTCCCCTTCCCTCTCTCGCCCTCTCTTCCTCCCCTGTCATTACCCCTTCCTCTCGAGTCGTCGACCCTTTTCCCTGCGCCTGTCGTCGTCCTTGAGCAGAACCTGACTCGAGCTTTCCCTCTCGTCGCAGGTCGGCAACACGTGCCTGTACGGCGCGACGAGCGGCGAGGCCTACATTCGCGGTATCTCGGCCGAGCGCTTCGCCGTCCGCAACTCGGGCGCCGTCGCCGTCGTCGAGGGCTGCGGCGACCACGGCTGCGAGTACATGACGGGCGGGCGCGTCGTCATCCTCGGCTCGACCGGCCGCAACTTTGCGGCGGGCATGTCGGGCGGTATCGCCTACGTGTTTGACGCCGCTCGCGACTTCCGGGCCAAGGTCAACCTCGAGATGGTCGAGCTCGACACGGTCAACGACCCGCACGAGATCGCCGCCCTGCGCGGCATGATCGAGGACCACAAGCACCACACGGGCTCGACGCTCGCCGCCACGATCCTGCGCTCGTTCAACCAGGTCCTCCCGCGCTTCGTGCGCGTCATGCCGCTCGACTACAAGGCGGTCCTCGAGGCCGAGAAGGTCCGCGCCGCCGCGTCCAAGAAGCGCAACTTTACGTCGGCGCAGCCCAAGCTCGCCCCTGTCGAGGAGGCTGCGGCCGTCCCTGTCGAGAACGACAAGCACGTCGCCGAGCCCGCCGTCGGCGACCTCGAGGACAGCATGGTCGACGCGACGGCCGCCAAGAAGCGCGTCCAGACACTCGACAAGGTCCGCGGGTTCAAGACGTACAAGCGCCTCACCGAGGCGTACCGCAACCCGCGCAAGCGCACCCAGGACTGGGCCGAGATCTCGACCCGCCTCAACGAGGACGAGCTCAAGGTCCAGAGCGCGCGCTGCATGGACTGCGGCGTGCCGTTCTGCCAGTCCGAGTCGGGCTGCCCGATCGGCAACGTCATCCCCAAGTGGAACGACCTCGTCTTCAAGGGCCAGTGGCGCGACGCCCTCGACCGCCTCCTCATGACCAACAACTTCCCCGAGTTCACCGGTCGCGTGTGCCCGGCGCCGTGCGAGGGTGCGTGCGTCCTCGGCATCAACGAGGCGCCTGTCGGCATCAAGAGCATCGAGGCCGCCATCATCGACAAGGGCTGGGAGATGGGCTGGATCAAGCCGGCGCCGCCGAGCGCACGCACGGGCAAGAAGGTCGCCGTCATCGGTTCGGGCCCAGCCGGTCTCGCCGCCGCCGACCAGCTCAACAAGGCCGGCCACTCGGTCACCGTCTACGACCGCAACGACCGCTTCGGCGGCCTCCTCATGTACGGCATCCCGAACATGAAGCTCGACAAGCGCGTCGTCCAGCGCCGCATCGACCTCATGGCCGACGAGGGCGTCCAGTTCGTCAACAACGCGCACGTCGGCAAGACGCACGACGTCAACGAGATCCGGGCCGAGAACGACGCGCTCATCATGGCGACCGGCGCCACCTGGCCTCGCGACCTCAAGATGAAGAACCGCGAGCTCGGCGGCATCCACTTTGCCATGGAGTTCCTCCAGCAGAACACCAAGGTGCGCCCTCGCCCTCTCTTCTCGTCCTGTCGCACGGTCGAGGACGGTCATTGACGTCGTCTTGCCGCACCCGCAGTCGCTCCTTGACTCGAACCTCGACGACGACAACTTCATCTCGGCCAAGGGCAAGAACGTCATCGTCATCGGCGGCGGCGACACGGGCAACGACTGCATGTGCGTCTACGCCGTCCTCTTCGTACGAGCGAGCAGAGCGGGCGACTTGGCGAATCTCGAACTGACCTTCTCAACTTGCCCTTCCCTGTCCTCTTCCCCTCGATCCACTTCCTCCTTCGCAGCGGTACCTCGATCCGTCACGGCGCGACCTCGGTCGTCAACTTCGAGCTTCTGCCGCAGCCGCCGTCGGCTCGCGCGAGCGACAACCCTTGGCCGCAGTGGCCGCGCGTCTTCAGGACCGGTGCGTCCTCTTCTCTCTCGCTCGCTCGACCGCCACGTTCCTCCCTGACCCTCGCACTCGCACAGACTATGGTCACGCCGAGGTCGCCGACCGCTTTGCAGGACCCTCGCGAGGTACGTCTGGCGCACGCATTCAGCCTTCTTCTCGCTTTCGCTCCCTGACTCGCTTCTTCGCCCTCGTGCAGTACTCGATCTCGACCAAGGAGTTTGTCGCCGGCCCCGACGGCCGCATCGCCGGCGTCAACACGATGCGCGTCGCGTGGGAGAAGGACGCCGTCGGCCAGTGGAAGATGAGCGAGGTGCCCGAGTCGCAAGAGTTCTTCCCGGCCGACATCATCCTCCTCGCCCTCGGCTTCCTCGGCCCCGAGGACGCGGCCATCAAGGCGCTCGGCCTCGAGCAGGACGGCCGCTCCAACATCAAGACGCCCCAGGGCAAGTACGCCACCGCCGTCGACGGCGTCTTTGCCGCCGGCGACTGCAGGCGCGGCCAGGTGCGTCCCCTCTTCTCTCTCTCTCTCTCTCTTTCCCTTTCGCTCTGCAGCTCCTGACATTGCCTCGCTCGCCTCCCGCAGTCGCTCATCGTGCACGGCATCAACGAGGGCCGTCAGACGGCCGCCGAGGTCGACCGCTTCCTCGTCGGCGACACTCGCTTGCCCAACGCCGGCGCCATCAAGATTCGCTCGTTCGCCCCGGCGTCGCGCAAGTCGTGCCAGAAGGTCAAGCCTGCCGTCGAGGTCGAGGCTGTCGCTGCCTGAGCGAGTGCCGGTCTGGACCACCCCCAAAAAGGCGACGAGCACCGCCTCGCCGCCTCTCCTTCTCTCTCCCTCCTCGTCCACTATATCTGCCTATCTGTCGCACCGTCGTCCTGGCGTCACCCTGTCGTGCTCGAGCGCGTGTTGTTGGTGGGAGACGCCGGTCGGCAACGATGGCGCGCGGCTCCCGATCTAGCCCAGCCCCTTCTCTTTTCCCTAGCAGTCCCTACATCGTCTCTCCTTCTATCGCTGTGTAATGCCTATCCGTCTCTCTCCCTTCTGGCGCGCTCGAGTCCGGCGAGCGAGAGATCGGAGAGCAGGGCGACCCGGCGCGCGCCCGAGAACGCTCCCATGACTTGCAAGCCCTCTCGTACCGCCCACGCATCGTCAAGGCGTGAGATGTCGAGCACGTGAGGAGAAGGAGCTTCGAGGCGAGGCAAGGGGTCTGAGAGCCCCATGTGAAGAAGGAGAAGAAGGATGAAAAGGAGGTCCGAGCGGGCGAGGGCAGTGAAGCGAGAGCGTGGCTTTTTGGCTCGGTTCAGCGCCCTCCTTTCGTCCGCTCGGCCAGAGCGACGACAGTCTTCCGCTGCTGAGCGCGACAGAAGCGCCTGGAAAGAGTCGAGAGCTCGAGCAAGCTGTCGTCGACCGGGTTCTCAGTCGCCTTTCTCTCGCTCGTCGCGCTCGCATTCGAGGTCAGGGTCGAGGCTCTCTCTGGCAAAGCGTGCGTAGTATTGCGAGGGGACTCGGGGTGGCAAAAGGTGCGTCGAGGGAGATAGAGAGGGAGGGAAGGTGGCTGCAAATGGTGCCGGGCGAGGAGGTACTGCGAGGGGGATCAAGCGGGTCTGCAAATGCGGGTGCGAGGGACAGGAGAGAGGCTGAGACTGAGAGAGGCGAAAGGGGAGGAGGAACGAAGGAAAGGGAAGGGAGGCTGAAAGAGAAAGAGGACCGGCGCCATCGACCTTCCCAACTTGAGCGGCGGCGAGGAGCTCACGCCGCACGCGGCGCGAACGCCAGGCGCGAGTACGACCGTGGCGACTGCGACGACGCGTTCTTCCTCGGCTGCGGCGTGCGCATGTGCGGCGGCTTCCAGTTGGCCTGCTGCTGCGGCGCGAGCGGGACGGGCTTGCGGACCGTGGCGGGCTCGACGAGCGCGTTCGGGGCGCCGGCGACAGGCGTCGACTGGCGCTGGATCGGCGTGCGGCAGACGGCCTTGGCGTTGCCCTCGTCCGAGAGGCCCTTGAGCGGCGCGCCTGCGGGAAAGAGCAAAAGGTCAATTCTGCACTTTCGCCGCCGCCGAGGGAGAAATGAGGACGCACCGAACTCGCCGATGACACGCAGAGCCTGGTAGCCGCCCGCCGAGTGATTCGTGAGGACGTACTCGACCTGCGGCAGGCGAAAGCTGGTAAGTCACCGGCCGACGAGGACGAGGGGATCGAGCGGGACGTACACGCTCGTTCTCGGTCAGGCAGCGGAAGCCGCGAAGAACGTCGATGCCAGTGTAGTGTACGAAGACTGCGTGCGTCAAAGAGGGTCACGATACGGCTCGAGGGAGGCGAGCGAGGTGGAGGAAGAGGACGCACCGTCGGCGGCGAGGTCCTTGTGGTCGTCGATGATGAAGCCGTAGCCCTGCGGGTACGGGAACGACGGGTCAGGGCAATGTCGCTCGAGGTCGAGAGAGCAAGAGAGTGTCCGGGCGCACCTTGAGAACGTCGAAGAACTTGCACGTGCCCGAGCTGAAGAAGTGGTCGCCTCGCGCGAGGAGCCCGCGCACGGTCGGCGGGACAGGGTACTCGGCCGTCGGCACGAGCGGGTAGACGGTGCCCGTCGTCGACTCGATGGCGGTGAGGCTCGGCTTGGCCTGCTCGTGCGTCGAGGAGGCGGTCGCGCCGTCGTTGCTCAGGCCGGGCGATGCCGGCGGCGAGACGAACGGCGGCGAGGCCGTGTCGAGGTACTGATTCGGGATCGGCCAGGCCGACTGGAAGGACGCTGGCTCGTAGATGTGCGACTGGAAGGCCGGCGGGTGCGGCGCAAAGGGCGACGACGGCTGGACGAGGGAGAACGACGGGTCGACCGGGCACGTTCCGCCCATCGGCGACGGCGGCGACGTGATGTACGGGTACTGGACCTCGGGGTAGACCTCGTAGTACGGGATCGACGGGCTGTAGACGTGCTGCGGCGCGACGGCGACGGCAGGGAAGCGCGAGGTCGGCTCGGCGACGAGGTACGGGTTGCTGAAGTGGCCGAACGTGGACGGGTGCTGCACGTCAAAGTAGACGAGGGGCTGGATCTGCTCCTGGAAGCACTTGCCGGCCGAGGCCGACGGCGCAAAGTAGGTCGGCGGGCGGATCGGGATGGCGGCGCTCTGGCGACGGCCGGCCGGGCTCGGCGTACGCGAGCGACTCGAGCTCGCAGCGCTGCTCGGCGGTTCGACGACGAACTCGATGCTCTGGAACGACGTGTCGACGCTGTCGTCGGGGCCCGGCGTGCTCGCGACCGAGCGACGGCCAGGCGCAGTGGAAGCTGGGCGGTCGAGCGCGTCCTCGTCGAAGGCGGACGGGCTCGGCGGCGGGCTGTTGCACACAGGGAGATCGAGTGAGTACGTGTGGATCTCGGCGACGGCACCGCTCGGGAGCTCGACGCACCAGACGGAGAAGGAGCGCGGGCGGTTCGAGGCGAAGTCCTTGAGCGGGGCCGGGCGCCGGGCTTGCGGCTTCTTGACGGTGGGTGGCGCACTCGCCGGCGTAGGCGAGGTAGTCGAGCATGAAGAGCAATGGGCGGTGGGCATGTCGGTGGCGGGGTCGCGGGGAGGGAGAGGACGGTCGGTCGAGGAGAAGGACGGGGCGACGGGGCGGTGGGGCGAGGACGAGGGGCGTCTAGAGGGGCGTAGGCGGTACTCGTGAGGGTGTCGGTACCCAGGACGTAGGCGTAGGCGGGCCTGGCGGGAGGTGAGTGGGAGGAGAGGGGTGGGCGAGATGGGCGAGCGAGTGTATGTTGACCTCGTTGGAGCGACGAGGGCGAGTGAGGAGGCGAAAGCGGACGGACGTCGAGCCAGAAGGTGTGCGCGTAGGTGTGAGCTGGCTGGTAGTGCGCTGGGTGCGAGGTTGCGAGACGAGGAGAGCGAGAAGCGAGAGAGACGAGGAGCGCGCCGACCCGAGCCAGCCTGCGCACAGTCGGCAACTCCACCGCTCGGGCCTGCAAAGACGCAACTTCATTCTGAAAGAGTCGCTTTCGGTCTTGCCCAGAGAATTAGCCCTCGCGCGACGTGGCCATCGCTGTCGCTCGCAGTGAACGGTAGAAGGAAGAGAGGCGGCCGCACCTCTCACCTCGTCCTCTACCTCCTCGCATCTCGCAGAGCGCAGCTGTGCGCTGCAGGCTCTCAGCTAGCTTCTTCTCGCGCTCTCGAGCTGCCTCGCACCCGCCAACGATCCCTCGTCGTGGCGCGTCCTCGCCCTCCTCCTCGTTCCGCTGATGACGGCTCTACGCCGCCGTCGTCGCGACCTGGAGCGCTCAACTGCTCGTCAGGTCCTCGCAGTCGGTGTGAGCTACGGCTTCCGAGACGCGCTGCCCTCCCTCGCCACGTACTCGAAGCTCTCGCGACCGCGTTCGCGTCCGACCCCTGTCCAACTCTCGCGTGTCGACAGCTGGCGAGCTCAGAGTCGGACGGGTGTCTCTCCTGCCCGTCTCAGAGCGGTCCTCGAGTAGGTTGAACAACACAGAGTGCTGGGGCTCTCGAAGACGGTCGGTCTGTGCTGCAGCCTCCCTCTCGGCGCTCATCCCCGCGTCCTGCTCTCGTGCGGGCTATCAGCTATGCTCCAGGCTTCGGCAGACTCGCTCTCGAGGCGATACTGTGCCGGTGATGGACGAGAGCTGCGCGCGAAGCGCCACGCACGCTCGGTGGTCGCCTTTCGAAGCTTTGGCGAGCTCTCCTGCGCTTGGCGTCTCGCACAGGCGACACAGAGGAGAGCGACGGCGTGCAGCAGCATCCTTTCGCCACTACCGCACTGGTCGAGACGACCGTCGAGCGGACCTCGCTGCTGCAAGGAGCGTGAACGAGTCCGCTTCGCTCGAGCGTGCGCAGCGTCATGTAGAACAGCTCGCGATGGTTCTGCGGCGAGGCTGAATGCATTGCGACGAGAGCCAGGGGACGAATGACGCGCAGAACCCTGGAGAAGAAGCGGGTGCGAGAGCAAGTTGAAGCGGAACCAGGATCCAGCGTGAGCACGGTCGACCAACGGCGCCGCACCTCGCTCCCGACCTCATCCAGAGCGCTCAGCAGTGCCCAGAGCAGCACCACAGCGACTACTCGACCGTGCAAGCCCGCCAGAACACCCACCCGTCGTCCCCTCACCTCGCACCCCCGCTTCATCGCCCAACTCTCCCGCTCCACCTCGTTGCTCGAGCCACGATGCCCAAGCGTGCCGCCGCCAAGAAGGACTCGGCCAGCACCATGGACGTCGACCAGCCTGCCACCCAGGCACCCGGCGCGGCCCCCAAGAAGGGCAGCAAGCGCCGCGGTCGCGACGACGACGACGACGACGACGACAGCGACGATGGGCCTGGCACCGACACCGAGGTGAGCACTCTGTCCTCAGCAGATCCTTGTGAGTCCCCGAGAGCTGACCCTGCCGCCCCCCGGCCCGCCACAGATGCTCGACGTCTCGTTCTCGTTCTTCGACCCTCAGCCGCAAGACTACCACTCGATCAAGCTCCTCCTGTCGCAGCTCGTCCAGGGCGACGCCGCGTCCTTCGACCTCGGCGGCGTGGCCGACCTCGTCCTCGAGCAGAAGCTCGTCGGCTCGACCGTCAAGACGGACGGCGGCGACGACGACGACAAGGCGGCCGAGGGCGACCCGTACGCCGTCTTGACCGTCCTCAACCTCAACGTGCACAAGGTGCGTCCCAGACCGTTCCCCCTTGTCCCGCTCTCGAGCTCTCGGAGGGCGCGCCGGAGCTGACAGGTGCCCCTCTGTGCCCGCAGGACCACAAGGCGCTGTCGGCCCTCACGTCGTACCTCCTCGCCAAGCTCCCGGCATCGTCCCCCTTCCACGCCGAGCTATCGTCGCTCCTCGCGCACCCGGCCGAGCCGTCGACCGCGGCGGCGCCCAAGCACGTCGGTCTCGTCCTGAGCGAGCGCCTCGTCAACATGCCGGCGCAGATTGTGCCGCCCATGTACAAGATGCTCGACGAGGAACTCCAGTGGGCCCGTGACGAGGTGCGTCCCAGCCTCTCTCTGCGATAGCCTTGTCGTGCAGGAGCCCGACGCAGTCGTGCTCTCGCCGACCTTGGCTGTCTCGACGTGCGAGGCGCTTACTGACTCTTGTCGTCGCACGCACGTCGCGCAGAACGAGCCGTACCACTTTTCGCACCTCCTGTTCCTGTCGCGCGTGTTCCGGTCGACGGCGGCCGACCTCGACTCGGACCCGAACGCGGCGCTCGAGGCGGCGCTCGTCGCCGAGGCGAGCATGCGGGCGGCCGTGCTCGGCGGGCCCAAGAAGAAGAAGGGGCGCAAGGGGGCGGCGCCGGGCGAGGCGGGCAACGCGGGCGAGGACAAGCTGTGGGTGTACCACGCCGAGGACGAGGCGGTCGAGAAGGTGCGCCCTCTCTCTCTTTCTCTCACGGCGTCGATGGTCGACTGATGACGGCGAACGCGCGCTCGCAGGTGGCGTCGCACAAGCACGTGTTTGAGTACTCGCGAGGGCGGCGGCAAGAGGACGGGAGCGAGGCGTTCGGGGTCGAGACCAAGGGGCAGCTCATGCTCGTGCCGTGGACCAAGTGGGGGGCGCTGCTCGACGGGATCGACAAGGTGGCGAGCGTGCCGGTGTAGAGCGCTGCAGTCGACGTTGCGACGAGTTGGTGCAAGCGAGAGAGAGAGAAACGCGAGGTTGTATTTCGCGGGAATAGTATTGCGAGCTGGTAAGCAGAATAGGCGATGCGCTCCTCTGAGGTCGTCGTCGTCGAACCGGGTCTCCTCTGATCCTCCGTCTCTCGCTCCTCCCCTCTCTCCGCCTCCCCCTCTTTCTCCCTCCCCCGCGACCATGTCCGACTCTGCCGCCCCGTCCTCCCCCTCTGCCGCTGCGCCGGCTGCCGCGACCCCGGCGAGTGCGCCCACCACTTCGTCGTCGTCGTCGACCCAGGGCCCGCCGACCAACACGCCCGCCGCTGCCCCGACCGCCGCCACCATCGCCAACAGCGCCAACCCGGACGCGTACGAGGGCATCCACCAGCCTGGCCAGACCGAAGACGACGGCCTCACCCTGCGCGCCCTCGTCTCGAGCAAGGAGGCCGGTAAGCTCGCCGCCCCTCTTTCTCCCCTCCCGGCCCCCCGAGCTGTGCGGGACGCGTCTCGGGCGAGTTGTGCGAGCTCGCTGCGCCGAGTGGGCGCGACAACGGGCCTCGGAGCGCGAGTCGCCGTCGAGCACCTCGCCTCGCCAACGAGCCGGAAAAACCGCCTAGCGCGTGCTCGCTCGCCTGCGTCCCGCGAGCTGCAGCTGGGCCCTTGAGTCGCACACGCACAGCTCTCGGACCATCCTGCACGCGCGCACACTCCGCCAAGACGCGACGAGACTGACCTTGTCCTCCTCCCCCTCCCTCCCCCTCCTCCTCGTTCCCCTCTCTCTCTCGTACAGGTGTCATCATTGGCCGCGGCGGTGCCACCATCGCCCAGATCCGCCAGGACGCCACCGTCAAGGCCGGCGTCTCCAAGGTCGTCCCCGGCGTCCCCGACCGCGTCCTCTCGATCGGCGGCACCGTCGACAGCGTCGCAAAGGTCCGTCCCCTCTCTCTCTCTGTGCCGGTCTCTCGTGCTCCGCAGAACTGCCTCATTGACCCTCGTATCGCCCCCGCCAGGCCTACTCGCTCGTCGCCCAGACCATCCTCGAGAACCCGGTCCCGTCGCCCACGTCGGCTGCCACGCCCGAGGGTGGCGCCGCCCCCTCGCCGTCCGCGTCGGCCTCGATCCGCCTCCTCATCTCGCACCTCCTCATCGGCTCGGTCATCGGCAAGGGCGGCTCCAAGATCCGCCAGATCCAGGAGCTCGCCTCGGCCCGCATGGTCGCGAGCAAGGAGATGCTCCCCCAGTCGACCGAGCGCATCGTCGAGGTGACGGGCCAGCCCGAGGGCGTCCGCATCGCCGTCCAGGAGATCGCCAAGTGCCTCATCGATGACTGGGACCGCTCGCAGGGCACCGTCCTGTACCACCCGGGCGCCGAGGGCCTCGGCGGCGCGGGCGCCGTCGGCGCTCAGGGCCACCAGGTGCCCCAGCAGCAGCAGCAGGGCAACGGCGCCTACCCGCAGCAGCAGCAGGGCGGCGCGTTTGCCGGCGCAGGTCAGCCTCGCCAGCCGCGCGCGCCCATGAGCGGCGGCGCGCCGGGCCAGCAGCAGCAGCAGCAAAGCGGCTTCCGCAACGGCGCCGGCGCGCAGGGCGGTGCCGGCGGTGCGCGGCGACAGGGCGGTGCCGGCGCGGCGGCGGCGGGCGGCGCGCAGGGCGCGGCCGGTGCGGGTGCGGCGCAGGGCCAGGGCCAGTTCGCGCCCGGCCAGAGCCTCGCCGGCACGGTCGTCGGCAACGAGAGCGACCCCAACTGGAGGGAGCAGAAGATCAGCATCCCGAGCGACATGGTGTACGTCCCGCTCCCTCTCCCTCTCTCTCTCTTCGCCTTTGCGTTCCTCCCTGACCTCGTTCTCCGACGCGCGCAGGGGCTGCATCATCGGCCGCGGCGGCACCAAGATCAACGAGATCCGTCGCCTGTCGGGTTCGCGCATCAACATCGCCAAGACGGCGCACGACGAGACGGGCGAGCGCATGTTCGTCATCTCGGGCCTTCCCGAGTGCGTCTCTCTTTCTCTCTCCCCGTCTTCCTCGCACTTGCCGAGGACGAGCACTGACCCTGTCTGTCCCCCTCAGGAACAACGAGAAGGCGCTCTTCCTCCTGTACAACCAGCTCGAGTCGGAGAAGGAGCGTCGCGTCCAGAGCGTCCAGGAGGAGCAGGCTCAGCAGCAGCAGCAGCAGCAGCAGGGCGAGGCCGGCGCCGGCGAGGCATAATCCTCCTCATCGCCACCTCGACTCGATCCGCATCATCGTCGTGATCCCCCATCAATATCCCCCCGCCCTCTTCCAAAACGCCTGGTCTCCCGCCTCGCCTTTCCTCTCTCTCTCTCTCTCGTCCTCTCTCTCTACTCTCCCTCGCCTCGTCTCGCCTCGTCTTCCTCACATTATCACCTCGCCCACCCGCCGTCTCGCGCTCCGCCGCCCTCACGGACCGCCTCCCCCTCCTACTCGCCCTCAAAATCCCTCGCGCCCCTTCGCCTCGCCCACCCTCAGGGTCCCGGGCTCGGCGTCGAGCGTGCGCGCTGTACGGTAGCGGAGCCTTCCCTCTCGGTCGCAGGGTGTTGTGATTAGTTGTCTTTGTCAATCCAGGGATCGTCATCCTCTCCTCTGTCTCGTCGCGTCGCTCTCGCTCTCGCTCTCTCTTTCTCGGCTTCTGTTCGAGAGATTCTCTCTTGACTGTCCTGCTGCGTCGCTCGTCGAGAAGCGAGCGTGTTCCAGTGTCTGTCGCCCCTCGAGAGATGCCCCGCTCGCCGTCACTCCTCCCTGAAGCTCTGCCGCCTGCCGCGCTCCGTCTGCGGCTTCTCGGCCGCATCGTCGACGGCGAACATCTTGCGTAGAGGAAGGATGGCGGCGCTGCAGGCGAGGAGCGCGATCGAGCACGCGCCGACTGCGGGGAAGGAGGAAAGAGGGTCAGTGCGGGAACGGCGAGGAGGGAGATGAACGACGAGGACAGGCCGACGCACCGAAGATGATCATGTTGCCGAACCCGTAGCGTCCCCAAGTTGGTCTGCGGAGCTCGTCGAGGGTCAGGGACGCGGCGAGGGAAGAGAGAAGAGGAGAGGCGAGGCGAGAGAGGTCCGGACGCACTCTTTCTCGACGGCCGACCGCTTGTAAAGCGCCTCGGACACGACGGGCATGAAGAGCGACGTGACGCCCTTCATGACCGAGATGAGCGTGATGATGAGGGTACCGAGATGCGGGTTGCCCGCTGTGGGCGAGATCGGTTTTAGGAAGGTCAGTTCGCCTCGTCGGTCGAGGTCGAGGACGAGAAGAACGAGCCGGCGCACCTGCGAGATCGCGAGTCGCCGCGCCCCACGTCGCACTCTGCTGCCCGACGAGGCCAAACAGGACCGCAAAGAGGTACACCTTGCCGAGCGTGTCGGCGAGGCCCCACGCCGTGAGGCTCACGAGCGCGCACAGGGCGCCGCTCAGCGCGTTGGCGAGCGCGTACGAGCGGTCGCACAGCGCGCCGGCGATGAAGCACCCGACCGAGGCGGTGAGGTTGAACAGGCCGACGACGAGGTTGACCGTCGTCGTGCTCGACGAGAACGAGTGGGCGTACACGGCGAGGTAGTTTGCCACGGGAAGGTAGGCGAGGCCGCCGAACGCGGCGCAGAGCATCTGCGAGGAGGCGCAGTGAGATTCAGTACGTCGAATCGTGCCGAGGAGACCGGGCGAGAGGGGCAGAAGAGGAGCCAGAGAGAGGTTGGGGACGCACCGAGAGGAGGAACAACGGGTTCCTGGCAAACTTCCACCCACCGACAGGGAACCATGGCGCTCGTCCTCCAGCAGGCCTGCCGATCGGCACTCGAGGCTTGATGAACACGATGCTGACCGAGAAGACGACGGCAGTCATGAGAGCCCAGATGCGACACAACCAGGGGAAGCCCTTGGTCTCGAGGATAACGTTGATGAGCCAGGGAAAGATGAAGCCGCCGAGACCCCCACCTGCGGGCGCGAGAAACGCGTTATTCCGACTCGTCGCGAGAGGAAGAGAGCGAGGGATGCGAGAGGACGGACCGGCAAAGACGACGCCGAGCGCCATACCTCGGCGAGCGCTCCACCAGTCGGTCAAGTAGACGAATACGGGTGAATCTGCCGTGAGAGGATTGTCAATGCTGGCCTGTGGGCGAGAGGAGGGAAAGGCGGACGCACAGATGAGCGTGTTCGAGATGCCGCACAGGACGCCTTGGAGGACGATGAGCTGCCACAGCTCGGTCGCCCAGCTCGACAGCAGCATACTACCGCAGCTGATGGCGACGCTCGTCCACAGGATGGTCCGCACCCACTCGGGGTATCGGCGGTAAACCGTGACGGCGACCACGGCTGCGGGCACGCTCGCTCGTCGTCAGTACGCTTGCGCCTCGAGAAGTGCACAAGACGGTGAAAGGAGGGACGTACGAAAGATGTACTCGAGCCCGAGTTGCGTCGTGCCGACCGCCGAGAGCTGCGAGACCGAGTACCGGCTCCAGGGTGGGTGGTTCTCAAGGTAGACGAGGGTGGTGGCGAAGCAGAACGAGTATCCCTGCGGTTGCACGCAGACGATAGTGTCAGTGAGGTTGTCAATGTAGAGAACCTCGACAGTATGGACGAGAGGAACCGGTCCAAGGGCGACGAGGAGGCGACGGAGCTCACCCAGATGAACGTCCTGCAGGCGGCTTCCTCGGTCAGCGCGAACTCGAGCGACACGAACAGAGAGATGTAGGGACGCACTCGAGGATCGTGGACGCGGCGATGAAGAGCCAGGCCGCCTTGCCGCCGTCGACCCGCGGCAGCAGCTGCGCGTTCTCCTCGCCGTCGCCAAAGTCGAACTGGGAGACGGATCGGTGCGGGCTCGTGCTGGTGCTCCTTGAGGCTGTCGTCGACGCTGCGTCGAAGCTGGCCATTGGCGCTGAGTCCAGTCGAGGTGGGGCGAGTTGAAGCTGCTGATGAGGATTTGGCGGGGCGAGTGGGCGAGCGTTGGCGAGGCGAGGACAACGCGAGCGCTCGGTGGCAGCTTGAGAGAAGCTCGTGCAGCAGTCGGACTGGCAGCTAGAGAGCGAGGAGGGCGAGGAGAGCTGCCGTCTTTTGCCGGCCGCGGTTTGACTACGATCGTGCCGCTCTCGGCAGAGCCGGCTCTCGCTCGCGCGCATGTGATCCAGCTCTCAAGGTGCTCAGCAGACCTGCTGCAATCACAACTCGCATCTACACAGGCAGACTTTACGCGCGCCGTGCCGTCGAGGCCGGCGCCGGCTCCTCCTCCTCCCACTGCCTGACAAGCCCTCGCCGCGCGCACCAGTCGAGGAACCGCGTCCACACGCCCGCATCCGCATCCGGATCGCCCTTCTGCGCCGGCGCACGAACGCTCGGGGCGAGGTCAAACTCGTCGTCGTCCCCAAAGTTGTCGCGCCCGAGGTCGAGGTCGCGTGGACGAGCGAGGCCGGCCGCCTTGCGCAGCGTGCGCTCGTTGCCGACGACGATGAGGGCGTCCTTGGCGCGTGTGAGGGCGACGTTGAGGCGTCGGCGGTCGGTCAGGAAGCCGATGTAGCCGCCGAGGTTGCACCGGACCGTCGACAGGAGGACGACGCGCTTCTCGCGACCCTGGAACCCGTCGACCGTGTTGACCTCGACCTCGCCCGCCTCGGCCGCACGCTGTGCGCCGAGCAGGGTGCGCAGCCGAGACGCGGCGTACCCGCTCTCGAACGTGTTGACGAGCAGGCGCGTCTGGGCGTAATACGGCGAGATGATGCCGATGTCGGTCGCGCGCAGGGTCGGGTTGCGCCGCAGGAGGTCGCCGACGATCGAGATGAGGATGTTGGACTCGGTGCGGTTGAGGAGCGACTGGCGGTGGACCGTCTCGGGGCCCGTGTGCGAGACGAACGCGACCGGCTCGTGGTGGCCGTCGGCTCTCGACGCCGGCGGCGGCGTGTGCGGCGCCGAGAGCATGGCCGACGTCGCCGAAGGTGCGCCAAAGTAGACCGAGTTGAGCGGCGCCGGACGACTCGAGACCGACTCGGCGTCGAGGAGGGCGCCGTTGTAGAACGACTGGTTCGGGAAGGACGAGATCGAGGGGCGCATGCGGTACTGCGTGTCGAGGAGCGTCGAGTTGACCGCTTCGGCGGGACGAAAGGACCATGGTCAGTTCGCTTCGTCGAGAGATGGGGAGATGCGATCGGCAAAGAGACGGACTTTTCGACGTGAGGAGGCGCTCGAACAGGCTCAGGTGCAGGCGCTCGTTCTTGGCGTCTTGCGACTGCGGTACTCGCAAGAGTGTCAGTGGGAGTTGGACATGTACGAGAGGAGGGGACGCACAGTGACGACCGCCGGTAGCTGTTTGTGGTCGCCAATGAGGGTCGCTTGGCGGGCGCCTTTCATGAGCGGAATGAGCGAGACGGGCTGCGAACGGCCATGCAGGCGTGCGAGTCGTCAGTGGGTGTTCGGAGAACGCGAGGGGTAGCGGAAGAGAGAAAGAGGCGGGCGCACCTCGGTGCACATGGCCGCCTCGTCGAGAAGGACGATCGGGAAGTCGACCATCTGCGGGCGTCACAACCTCGTCAGTGCGGGCACAGGCGACGAGGGTCAAGAGAGAAGGGGACGCACGTTGAGGACCTTGCTCGCTCCCGACCCGAGAGCGGTCGCGCAGAAGACGTCGGCCGTCGCGAGCAGGCTCGAGTAGAGCTTGTGCTCGAGCATGATGAACTTGCGCCACGCCTTGCGGTACTTGCCCTCGACCTCGGCTGCAGGGACAGAGTGTCAGTCGGGCACGAAAAGGAGGTCGCAGAGTGGCGAGAGGAAGACGCAGACGCACAGTCCTTGTCGTCGGCCTCCTTGCCGCCACCGTCGCCGCCCACGTCCCTCCTCGCGTCCCGCATGTCCTGCAGCTCGGTCCGGAGCGCCTCGCACTCCTCTCGCGCCTTCTCGAGCCGGTCCCACAGCGGGTGCTGCTCCTGGCGCTTCTCGATCGTCCACTTGTGCACCTCGTTCGAGACCTTGGCCGCCTTGCCGCAGCGCAGCGGGTTGAGCCCGGCGCGCACGAGGAGGAGGACGAGGTGGTCGACCGAGACGTGGGTCGGCGCGGCGAGCAGGATCGGCGACGGGATGCGGAAGTGGAGCTTGAGGAGGGCGATGAGCGACACGATCGTCTGCGACTTGCCCGTGCCCGGCGGCTGCGTCGGTGTGGGTGTGGTCGGTCAGTCTCGTCGTCTATCGTACAGAGAGGAGGGCGCGTAGAGTAGGAAGAGAGAGGAGGACGCACACCCTGGATGAGGCTGAGCTTGTCGCCGAGCGCCATGGCGATCGCCTTGGTCTGGCTCGCGTTGAGCCCGAGGTCCGGGTCGCCCGGCAGCTCGATCGGGTCGTCGCGCCGGTACCGCTCGATCCACGAGTTGATGAGCTGGTTCTGCCGCAGGACGTCGCTCTTGAGCGGGTCGACCTTGAGGTCACGCGACGGCTGCGGCTGCGGCTGCGGCTGCGACGACGGGACGATGTGCTCGCGCAGCTCGGTGCCCTGGAGCGCCCACTCGCGCAGGCTCGGGACGATGCCGCTGCGAGTGAAGGCGTGCTGGACGGCGGCGACCTGGGTTGCGTTGTGCGCGCGCTGGCGGGACGGGTCGAGGAACAGGTTGTCGATGGCGGCCGTCTGGAGGGCGTATGAGCTCGTGTCGAGGCCGATGTCGATCCTGCGTGACGTGAGAGAGAGTAAGCCGACTGTCGAGGGAGGGAAGAGGAGAAGGCGAGGACGCACTGGTACGCCTCGTCGCCCAAGGGCCACAGATCGACCTCGTCGAACGCGACGATGAGGTTGCCGTCGCGTACGTTGAGCACCGTGCCCTGGACGAACCACTTGTTGGCGCTGCCCGGCGGCGGCGTCGACGCGGCTGGCGGCGGTTGCGGCCCGGTCGAGCCGGACCGAGCGAGCCCTTGGTCCTGCTCCGAGGCGAGCGTGAGGCGGACAATCGTGCCGGTGCTGCAAGCCGACCTCATCGCCAAGTCAGTCCGTGTCGCAGATCGAGAAAGACACGAGAGGACGCGGGAGAGAGAGCTCGACGCACCTGAACTTCCAACCCTTGTCCTCGGTCAACTCGCGCCCGTCCTCGGCCTCAAAGCACGCGACAGCGCGCTGCCCTGCCCCAGCGCTCGCGGCTCCCACACTCGCTCCCGCCGTGCCCGCCGCCGCCGCCGCTGTCGTTCCCGAGCCCGCCTTGCGCCGCTCCTCCTTCTCGCGCGCGTCGAGCCTCGTCATCTCGTCGGCGCGGCTCGGGTCGGTGAGCCACGTCCCGAGCGCGCGCATGAGCGTGACGCCCTTGGGCTCGCGCTCCTTGGGCGTGCCCTGGCGCGCGAGCGACGCGAGGTACAGCTGCTCGTCGGCCGCCTTGGAGAGGTCGAGGAGGCGGTCGAGGCTGCGGACGATGGCAGAGCGGGTCAGTGACTGAGTCTTTGTGTGCGTGGAGAAAGAGAAAGAATGAGAGAGGGACGCACCGCTTGCGGTACACCTCGGCGTCGGGCCACCCTCCTCGCTCCGCCTCGGGCACGCGCACCTTCCACCCCCACTGCTCCTCTGTCCTCACCTGCGCGTACTTGGCGATGCGCGCCGCGTCGACGCCGACGCCGACGAGGCGGTTGTGGCCGAGCGAGACGGTGTCGGTCTCGGTGCGGCTGAAGAGCGGCGGCGGGCTGCGGCGCAGGTACCGCCGCAAGGGGGACGACAGGCGCCAGTCGTGGCGGGTGACGAGGGGATCTGACGCAGGGGAGGGGAACGGGTCGAGAGAGGTCGAGGAGAGGGGAGGAGGGAGGTAGGGCGCGATGAGGGAGGGGTCGGTGCGCTCGACGGGCTCGAAGCGGAGCGGCGCCGGGCGGCGACGGGGCGTCGTCGTGCGGGTGACGGCGAACGGGTTCGTCGCCGGCGCTCGAGCCTCGGTGGTGGCGAGCGGCACCGACTCGACGACGGCTCGCGGCGACGACGGCGGCGGTGCAGGTGGAACATCGGGCGGGAGCTGGTCCACCTTGACGGCCGACGACGCCCTTGCCGTGCGCACTTGGCGCACCTCGTCGCGCTGCGCCTCGAGCTCAGCCTCGCGGCGAAGGACGTCAAGCCACTCGTCCTCGGCGTCCCACTCGTGCGCGCGGTCGGCGCGGATCGAGTCGCCCTCGGCGGCGGCGCGGTACCGGCCGTCGACGTCGAGCGGGAGGACGGGCTCGGCGTCGTACGTCTCGGAGCCGCGCTCGTCCCACTTTGGGTGGCGGGCGTTGACGCGGTCGGCGGGTAGGGACGCCTCGAGGTGGGCCTGCCAGTCGCCGGCGGCCGACGGGTGCGGGTCGGCCTTGGACACGGGCGAACGGCGAGCACTTGTCGACGGATGAGGCGGTGGTGGTGGCGGCGGGTGCGAGTCGAACTTGACGCGCGAGGCGAGGGCGTGGGCGTCCCTCCTGCTCGAGGACGACGACGAGCGTCGAGGAGGCGGTGCGGCGGGACAAGACGATGCGGCGGCGCGGTGGTGGATGCGGCGGATGAGGTGTGGATGGACCGAGTGCGACGGCGTGGAGCTCTGTGCGCCGGTCGGGGCTCGAGCAAGGGTTGCTGCGCCGTGTGCAAGGTGGCGAGAGGACGAAGGCGGCATGGCGACGACGGCTCGTCGGGGTGCGCCGGTTGGCTGTAGGGGTCTAGAGTCAGTGCTGTGTGGGTTGAGAGGGTGTGTGACGGTGCGCACCTTGTCGTTGTCGAGTCGGGGTGCTCGGTTGGCGTGCGGAGTGGAGCGAGCGCGTTTGGACGCGTCGACAACACGGGCGAGGGCTGGCTCAGGGCAGCGGGTGCGGCTGGTTGGAGCAGCTGATGCTTTCGGGTGACTGCTGACCGTGCAGCTGTGCAGGACCGCGTCGGTGTGAGAGCCGCGTCGGTCGGTGTCGGCTCCCCCTTGTCCTCGCTCCTCCTCCTCGTCTCTGTCGACACACTCGAGGGGCAGCAGCAGCCGTCCACCGCAAGAGCCTACTCAACCCGCCCAACACGGCGAGCACTACCCGCCGCAATCCCGCATCCTCGTCGTCGTCGTCGCCTCATCGTCTCGGCTGTGGGGCTCGCTCTCCGTCTCGCTGCAGGCCATGCGCTCGTCCGACAAGCAGTGCGTCCCCTTCGCAGCAGTCCAGCCCTCGAGTCCCCCTCACTGAACCGGCTCCACCCCTCGCAGCTGCGCCACCTCGTCGGCCGCGCCGCCCCCGCCGCCGGCAGTCCGCCTTCCGCCGACTCCGCCAGAATCCCCCGCGCTCGACCCACACGGCACCTTGTCGCCCGCCCTCGCCTCGCTCCCGACCGAGACCCTCCACCACGTCCTGTCGTACCTCGACCCGCCCGCACTCGCCGCCGTCGCCTGTCTCGCCCGCACCTTCCTCCCTCTCGCCCGCGCCCACCTGTACCGCCAGCTCCACCTGCGCAACAACCGCGACGGCCAGGCCGCCCCAGCCGACAGCTCCGCCCTCGATGCCCGCTCGGCCGCCCTCCTCGCGTCGCTCGACCGTCACGCCCCCGCCCTCGCAACGCTCGTCCACGGGCTCGACTTTGACCTCCTGTCGCACCTCGGCGCCGACGACGTCGCGGCCCTCCTCGGCCAGGTCTTGACCCTGTGCCCGTCCTTGACCGCCCTGCGCCTCGGCGCCGGCTCGCACGGCCACGGCATCGGCTTCCGCGGCCTGTACCGCTCCCTCGCGCTCGCACCGCCCGGCGCCGCCGCCCGCCTGCGCGTCCTCGACGTCGCCGCGTGCGCCGGCGCGCCCCACACGCTCGCCATGCTCCTCGTCGAGATGCCCAACCTCGTCGAGCTGCGCATCGGCCAGTGCCTCCTCGAGGACGAGGACCAGGCCGTGTTTTGCGCCGGCCGCGCCGCGCCGTGCCGCCTCGAGACGCTCGTCGCGCGCGGCCGCCTGACGCCGACCGCGTTCGCGTTCTGCACGGCGTCGAGCGGCGCGAGCCTGCGCCGGGCCGTCGTCCCGCTGTGCGACAAGGCCGCGCTCGACCTCGCGCCGTTCACGGCCCTCGCCCACGTCGAGCTGTGCGTCTTTCTCGCCGGCGCCCCGACGCCGTTCTCGCCCGCCCACGCCCAGTTCCACCCGACCCTGTCGCGCCTGTCGCGCAACCTTGGCGACACGCTCGCGTCGCTGCCCGGCGGCGGCGCAGGCGCAGGCGCTGCGTCGTCGCCCGTCGTCGTCGCCCTGTCGGGCGCGTGGGACAGCGCCGTCACGGCGCCGCCCGGCTCGAGCCAGGCCGTCGACCTCGTCCTGCACGGCGACCTCCTCGAGCGCATCCCGCGCGAGGGCGTCGAGCGCGTCGTCGTCCGCACAGAGCTCAACGCGCTCGCGCTCACGCGGTGGCTCGCCGACGACGCGTGGTGGGGCTCGGCGGCCTCGTCGGCGCTGTCGCGCATGGCCGACGACGCGTCGACGACGACGAGCGATCACGAGCGTGAGCGCGAGCGCGACCACGAGCGGCCGCCGAGCCCGGCCGGGTCGACGGCGAGCGCGCCCTCGGTGTCGACGTGCGTCCCCTCGCCGTGCGGCTCGCCGTCGCCTCCTCCTACCTCGTCGCGGTCGTTATTCGCCCAGTCGCCGCACCGGTTCCCGCCCGACGTGAGGCACCTCGAGCTGTGGCAGAAGACGTCGTACTCGGGCGCGAGGCGCGACTTTCAGGCGCGCGTGCGCGAGCGGGTCGACGAGCGCGCGAGGGTTCGAGGCGTCGAGGTGACCTGGAGGACGTACGAGCGGTGGTGACGGTGGTTTGAGCGAGCGGTGCAAAGGATCGAGCTGTTGTTGACGTTCGCGAGAGCAGCGCACGAGAGGTTGAGCCGGCCGAGGCTCGAGCGTGCGAGAGTGCGAGAGAGCGAGAGTCTCGAGACTCGAGAGAGGAGCGGTCCGACGTGGGAGGGGGGGCTGGAGAAACGAGGGGTTGCGCGGTGTGGTTGGCTCGACGTAGCCGAGGGCGCCCGAGGGCAAAGGGGCCGGGCGCGCGCGCCGCGCGACGGAGTGCGACCAGCTCGGCCGCCTCCCTCTCTTTCCTCCAGCAACCCTCTCCTCGACCCTCCGGGTGCGTCCCTCCCTCCGCTCTCTCGTTCGACCGTCAGCGCACGCCCACCTGCGCCACTGTCCCAGCACACTCGCTGACCCTCGCCCCCCTCGTCCGCGTCGCCTCGCAGGAAGAATTTGTTCAAGATGGCCAAGAAGTCCAAGACGCCGCAGGAGTTCTTCGCCGACTTCATGATGGGTGGTGTTTCGTGCGTCCCCGTCTCTGTTTGCGTCGCCGGGCGAGCGCACAGCGGTGGAGCGAGCGTCGAGGTTGGGAGGGTCGACCACGTCGCACCTCCCCCCTCGTCTCGTCTCTCCCCCGCTTATCGCTCGCCCCCTGCCCCGTCTGCACGAGCGACAGCCTGACTGACATGCCCTCGTCGTCCACAGCGCCGCCGTCGCCAAGACGGCTGCTGCCCCCATTGAGCGCATCAAGCGTGCGTCCCCTCTCCCCCTCCTCCCCCCTCGGCCTCGCCCGATCTCGACTCGAGAGCTGACTCTCCTCTCCCGCAACAGTCCTCGTCCAGAACCAGGGCGAGATGCTCAAGTCGGGCCGTCTCGCGACCCCGTACAAGGGCATCGCCGACTGCGCGACCCGCACCTACGCCGACGAGGGCCTCGTCTCGTTCTGGCGCGGCAACACGGCCAACGTCATCCGCTACTTCCCGACCCAGGCCCTCAACTTCGCGTTCAAGGACTACTACAAGTCGCTCTTCTCGTTCGACCAGAAGCGCGACGGGTACGGCATGTGGATGGCCGGCAACCTCGCCTCGGGCGGTGCCGCCGGTGCCACCTCGCTCCTCTTCGTCTACTCGCTCGACTACGCCCGCACCCGTCTCGCTGCCGACAACAAGTCGACGGCCAAGGGTGGCGGAGAGCGCCAGTTCAACGGCCTCGTCGACGTCTACAAGAAGACCATCGCCTCGGACGGCATCGCCGGTCTCTACCGTGGCTTCATCCCGTCGGTCGTCGGCATCGTCGTCTACCGCGGCTGGTGCGTCCCACTCTCTCTCTCTCGTGTCTGGGTTCGTCGACTTCTCGGGACTGACCTCGCCCCGTCCCTCCCTCTCTCCTCCCCTCCTCCCTCACTCTCTTTCGCCCTCGACCACGCCCACGCCCACGCCCGACGACGACTCGCACCGCAACAGCTACTTCGGCATGTACGACTCGCTCAAGCCGGTCGTCATGACTGGTTCGCTCCAGGGCTCGTTCCTCGCGTCGTTCCTCCTCGGATGGGGTGTCACGACCGGTGCCGGTATCGCGTCGTACCCGCTCGACACGATCCGTCGTCGCATGATGATGACCTCGGGCGAGAAGGTCCACTACTCGTCGATGTTGTGCGTCCCGCTCTCCCTCTCTTGGTCTCGGCCGACGTTCGTCGAGCAGGGCACTGACTCTCTCCCTCTCCCTCTCCCTCTCCCTCCTCGTCTCCCTCCTCCCTCTCCCTCCTCTCCTCGACTGCCGACCTACAGCGACGCTGGCCGCAAGATTGTCGCCGCCGAGGGCGTCTCGTCGCTCTTCAAGGGTGCCGGTGCCAACAGTGCGTCTCCCTCCCTCTCGTCCTCGCCAAGTCTACCAAGCCTGACCCTCGTTCCTTTCGCGCAAAGTCCTCCGCGGTGTCGCTGGTGCCGGTGTCCTGTCGATGTACGACAAGCTCCAGGAGCTCGTCTTCGGCAAGGTCTACTCGGGCGGCTCGGGCTAAAGGAGGAGAGATTCCCCCCCTACCTACACTTCCTCTCTCTCTCTATCTCTTTTGCACGCGCTTGTCCCGTTGTTATGTCCACGCCCAAGACTTTTTGGCCTTCCACCCTCTCTGGCGCGTCGTCCGTCGTCGAGAGAGAGAGAGAGAGACCGAGAGGGAGAGCCTGAAACGAGAGAGAGCGACCCGAGCGCCGCACTCTTACTGCCTCTTTGACTCGTAGTCGTCGTCGATACGCAGAGAGTCCTGCTCGCCGCGACGCCGGATTGAGCGAGAGGAGAGAGCGTGAGCGAGAGCGAGCGGAAAGCGGTTCGAGCGGGCGAGCAGGAGACGGGGCGCGCTTCCCGCCAGGCCTTCTTTCGCTGCGTCGTGACGAGCTTGATGACTCACGTCGACTGTGCGAGACGCGCGGACCCTCGGCTCGAGGGACGAGCGTGCCGTCGAGAGCCGCACGAGCCTCCTTGCGCCGGCGGCGCGCTCTCTCTCTCCTCCTGTCCCTGCTCCTCGCTGGTCGCAGCGCGCTCGTCTTTCCGGTGCTCGTGAGCCAAACCTGACTCGATGAAGGACGAGAGCGAGGCGAGCACTCGAGCAGACGGCCCGACCCTCCCCTCCTCCTCCTTCTCGGCGAAGGTCCGTGCGCGCTCTCTCTCTCGGTACGATCGTCGGTTCGGCTCTATACTCGAGCACACGTCTCGGAACGTCCTTCGAGAGCTGTTTAGACTCAGGAAGCGCAGTACTGCGACCTCTGCAGCGACCACTTCGTCCTCTTCCTCCTCCTCGTGAGGGCGCCCGCACTTTCTCAGGCAGTCGTCGAACCCGCTCTGCACTCGAGCCCATGTCTCGAGGCGTCGATCGCGGAAGAAGAGAGCCACATTCAGGCAAAGCTGGGCAAAGAAGAAGACGGCGCAAGCCCAACGCCAAAAAAAAAAGAGAACCTGGCCAGGTAGCGCCGTAAACTGGCGGACAGGGTGGCATAGCTGCATGTTCGTCTTCTGCAGGGCGGCGGCGGTCACCAGAGTGGAGCCTCTCGGCAACGTGGTGCAGAGGACGACGGCGGAGAGCAGCTCGTCGCCCGAGAGCTCGCAACAGCGCACTTCCTGAGCTTGCACAGCTCTCAGTCGACGTCTTGAGACGTGTGCTCGAGCTTACAGGCGACGCGACGACCGCCTCGAAAGAGTACCCGCACGACTTTGCGCCGAGGAGGAGAAGAAGAAAGTGGTCGCTCCGGAGCTCGCTTCACTGGAGTTCCTGAGCCCGCACAGCTCTCGAACGACGTTTCGAGACAATTTCTCGCGTGTAGAGCCGACCCGACCGTCTTCGAGAGAGAGCGCCCGCACGAACGTTGGTCGAGAAGGGCAGGGAGGAGGATTGAGTCGGTTTGTGCTGGCCGCGTTCCCGCCCCGCTCTCGCCATGCAATGCGAGTCACGCTCGGCCCACGAGCACTGAAGAGACGAGCGCGCCGCGAGCGAGGACGAGCGGGGCGCAGCAAGAGAGAGAGCGTCGAGGAGGCTCGTGCGGCCCTCGACGGCGCGCTCGTCGCTCGAGCCGAGGATTTGTGCGTCGTGCACAGTCGACGTGAGCTGTCAAGCTCGTCCCGACGCAGCGATAGAGGACCTGGCCGGAAGCGCGCGCCGTCCCTGCTCGCCCGCTCAGGCCGCTTTCCCCTCGCGCTCGCTCACGCTCTCCCCTCTCGCTCGATTCGACGTCGCAGCGAGCAGGACTACGCTCCGCGTATCGACGACGACTACCAGTCAAAGAGGCAGTAAGAGTGCGGCGCTCGGGTCGCTCTCTCTCGTGTCAGGCTCTCCCTTTCGGGCGCTCTCACTCTCTCGACGACAGACGACGCGCGAGGGAAGATGGAAGGCCAAGAAGTCTTGGGCGTGGACATAACAACGGGACAAGCGCGTGCAAAAGAGAGAGAGAGAGAGAGGAAGTGTAGGTAGGGGGGGAATCTCTCCTCCTTTAGCCCGAGCCGCCCGAGTAGACCTTGCCGAAGACGAGCTCCTGGAGCTTGTCGTACATCGACAGGACACCGGCACCAGCGACACCGCGGAGGACTTTGCGCGAAAGGAACGAGGGTCAGGCTTGGTCGACTTGGCGAGGACGAGAGGGAGGGAGACGCACTGTTGGCACCGGCACCCTTGAAGAGCGACGAGACGCCCTCGGCGGCGACAATCTTGCGGCCAGCGTCGCTGTAGGTCGGCAGTCGAGGAGACGAGGGAGAGGGAGAGGGGAAGGGCGGCGTGGGAAGAGAGAGAAGGCGTGGCTCGAGCCGGGCGCGGCCTGAGCGCACCTCGTCTCGTGCGTCGCCGAGCAGCAGCAGCACCTCTCGCACCTCTCGAAGAAACACCTCTTGAGTCCCTCTCGCGACCCTTGCCCTCGCGCCTCGCGGCGCCCGACGCTCGACGAACCCTCGTGGGTGGTCCCGATTACAGCATCGTCTCGTTCCAGCGCGCGACAAAAGGACAGCGGCAGCCCCTTTACGCCTCCTCGACACGGACGCGGGCGTTCGAGTTGTTGACCTTGACGCCGAGGACCTTTGCCTTCTCGACAATGGCGACGCGCTTGCGGGCCGAGACGCCGTGGGCGATCGTGGCCGAGAAGCTGGAGGAGCGGAGCGCAGGCGAGGTGCGCGATGGCGGCGACGACAAGGGCGAGGGCGACACAGGGTAGGGCGAGAGGAGGAGGAGGAGGAGGGGGCAGACGAGGGTCAGTAGGCGGTCCGGGCGCCGGCGAGGAGAGGAGGGAGGGAAAGGGACGCACTTGTTGTTGGCCATCAAGAGGGTCTGGACGTCCTGCTCGTTGTGGACGACAAACTCCTTGTAGCCGTTAGGGAGGACGTGGCGGGTCTTGGCGTTCGAGCCGTAACCGATCTTGGGCATGGGGAGCTGGCCCTTGAAGCGGCGACGGACACGCGAGTCGATACCCTTGGGCTTGCGCCACGAGTCCTTCTTGGCGAGACCCTTGTAGCGGTCGGCCTGGTGGCGCTTGCTGTGTGCGGGCGAGTGGCGGTGGCACAGATGGCGAGGTCGAGGAGGGGAATCGAGCCGAGCGGTCGGGTCGAGGTGGGGGCGAGGGGCGGCAAGTGGTCGAAAGGTGGAGGGGCGCGCATGGCGTGATGCAGCGAGAGGTCACGGGCGTGTGGCGTGAGTGGCGGGGCGAGGCAGGAAGAGGGAGGCGAGGGAGGGAGGGACTTGGTGAGCAGGTGGTCGCGCAAGAGGGAGAGAGAGCGCGTGGGACGCACAAGCCGTGGGTGCGCTTCTTCACGATCTTGATGTTGACGGGCATGACTGCGAGCGCGAGTGCGCGTTAGTTCTCGGGCTCGTGCGGGGGCCGGGGCGGTCGAGGCGAGGGTTGGTGGTCGGGGGCGAGTCGAGGTGGACCGGCAGCATCTCCCCCTCTCGTCACGCGTGATCTCCTGCCTGCCGTCCCGCTCCTCGTGCACACCCTCCTGCCCACGCTGCACCGTGCCCGTCGCCGCACGAGCATAGGTTCCCCTTGCTCGCGCACTGGGGCAAAGCTGCCGCCGCCTCGTCTCGCCCGTCTCGCGCCCGAGATGCTGCCGCCGCATGTCGAGTCGTGTCGAATCGGGGGTGGAGGGCTGGAGGGCAAGGCGCACCGAAACTGCAACGAGGGAGAGACGAGAGGGGAGGGGAGGCCAGAGGCGAGGTCAGCGACGAGCTCGCTCCGCCGACAAGCGACGCCAACACGGCCTTCCGAGTCGCTCGTGCCCTGCGCGCCGGACCGGGACCTGCCGCTGTGCAGCCACTCGGGCCACAGGGCGACTCGACTGGCCAGCGTGGCAGGCGGGCGAGTCGAGCGGTGGAGCGGCCGGGGCCGTCAGGGTTTGCCCTCGCGGCCGAGGGCGACTCGACGACGGCGGCGACTCGGCGGCGGGCTGGGGCGCGAGGGCTCGGGTTGGGGGTGGTGTAGGCGAGAGCAGGCGGCTCACAAGGGGTCGAGAAGAGGGTGGCCAGGAGACGGGGAAACAAGCGAGCAGCTCGCCTCGTCCTGTCGCTCCTCTCTCCGGAGTCCGCCAACTCGCTCTCGCTGCGCTTCCCCTCTCGCTCGAGTCGCCTGCCCAGTCCATGCACCCCTCGTTCCGTCCACTGCTGCCTCCGTCCCGCCTCGGCCCTTTCTCTCTCGGACGCTCGTGGCTCTTCGCGCGGCTCGACCGCATCTCTCGCAATCGCACTGCGGCTGTCTTTGCGACAGCTTGTCGCAGCTCGTCACGACCTCTCTTGGCTCGAGCGATCGAGCGAGCGAGCGGCACCCGAGACTCGCTCTCCTCGGTCCTGCTCGCCAACGACGACGAGCTCGAGTCGAAACAACCTCGCACTGCAGCGCTCGCCCCCTTCCTGCGAAACTCCTCACGTCCTGGAATGAATAGAGACGGGAGCCGCCCTCCTCGTCCTCCTCCTCTCCCTCGCTCGCTCGCCCCCGGTCCTGCTCGCCCGCTCCGCACCGCTCAGTACGCGTCGCCCTCGCCGCCCTCGTCGCCAAAGCCCTGCCGCGCGAGGAGCACCCGTTCCCGCGCGTGCTTGGCCGCGAGCTTGGCTTTCTGCTCGGACGCGATGACGGCCGCGAGGTGCGGCCAGGGCACGAGCGTGAGCGCCGCGAGCGGCGCGTCTTCCAGGTCGAGGTCCTGCGGGTGCGAGGGGGGACGCAAGGGGGCATCGAGAGTGTCAGTCACAGAGTCCCGTGCCCATCAAGTGCACGCGGAGCGACCGCCGCCGAGCGATTCGAGCTCGACACGGCCGCGACGCGAGGAGGAAGAGGACGGCCAGGCGACGCACCACCTCTCCGAGCAGCACGACGTTCTCCCCTCGGACGAGGAACACGCCCCGCTCCGTCTGCGCGTACGCCTTGGTCGCCGGGTGGTATAGCCGCTCGATCGTCTGCGTCAGGACGAGGTTGGCTGCGGCGTCGTCGAGGTCGTGGTCGAGGTGTGCGAGGGGCGGGGACGAGGGGGAGGGGGAGGGCAAGCAGGGTCAGGGTCGGTCGCTCGAGTCGCCAGGGGATAGAGGGAGGTGGGCGCACCGTACTGGTCGTACGAGCGCAACACGCCGATCAGTTTCCGGTCGTCTCGCAAGTGCACGAGGACCTTCTCTGCGAGGCGAGGCAACGCGAGTCAGGCGCCCGTCTCGGGCAGGGCTAGCGAGAGAGCAGTGACGCACTGTCGACGAGCTCGATGAGGGCGCCCGAGGTCGTAAACTGGAGGTTGCCGAGCGGGTCCATCGCAGGAGGAGGGCGGGAGGAAACGAGAGGCGAGGCGGACGAGGGACGGCGGCGGAGCCGGTTGGGGGTATCGCAGAGGTATCCGGTGCTGCTGTCGAGGCGGTACTGGCTGCTCGAGAGGCTTGTGGGGCGAGAGACGGCGAGGAAAGCGCCGGCTGTGCGATGAGGACGACGGGGCGAGGTCAGCACGCCGTCTGTTGGAGAGGGCGGTGCCGAGGACAGGTGGACGCACTTGGTAGAGTCCCTCGAGACTGGAACGAGTGCGCCTGGTGCTGGTTGGGAAGACGAGGCCAACCGAGAGCTCTCCCCGCCGACGAGCGACGACGACGACGACGGCGAGACTCGCTCAACGACGAGCCGCAAGCACGACTGGGACATGCACTGCATTGCTGCACAAAGCGCGCTCAGAGCGCCCACACTAGGGACCGCCCGGCGACAGGAAATTCAGATCAAGCGCCTCCTCGTCCTCCTCTCAAGCCCGTGCACCCGCCTCGCCGCCGTCGCACTCGCTCACCACCCAAGCTGCTCCTTCCAGTCCGGCCCGCTGCACACGATCGAGAGAAAGAGAGTCAGGTCCCGAACGAGGAAAGCCATGCTCGACGGCGCCAGGGAGGGAGGGAACGAGAAGGAGAGAGAGGGAGCACACAGGGAAAGCCGATGAACTCACTAGTCCCGCTCCATGCGATCGTGCATGGCCTGGATGTCGCGGTCGACCTCGGCGGCCGTCTTGCGGTCCGACGACTGGCGCTGCATCGGCGGCGGCGGCGGAAGAGGAGGTGCGGCGCCCGGTGTCGCCGACGCCGCCGTCGCCGTCGAGGTCGGCCTCGCCGCTGCAGGACGCTCGTCCTCGTCGTCCGAGCTGAGCGTCAGGTCGACGACCTCGCGCCGCCTCGCGCCGCCACCACCGCCGAGCGGCGTGCTGCTCCCGCCCGTCCCGACGCTCCCCTGCCCTCCTGCGCCGCCGGCCCCGCCCCAGTCGACCCTCCTGCGCTTGGCGAGCGGCGCGTCGCTGTCGTCCGACTCGTCGTCCGAGAGGAGCACGAGCTCGCCGTCGGCGCGCTGCTTGCCCTTGTCGCTCGCCGACCCGCCCGCACCGCCTGCGCCGCCTGCGCCGCCGCTCCCGGGCGTCCCGCGCCCGTCGCCGACACCGTTCCCGACGGGCGTGTTGCGGCCCGACGCGGTGGCCGACACGAGCGACGAGCGCGGCTTGGCCGTGCCGAGCTTGTCGTTGTCCGAGCGCCAGGTGCCGTCCGGCTCGACCGTGACGGCGTCGACGGCCGACGAGCACACCTTGAGGATGTCCTCGAAGTAGCTGTCGCAGAGAGGCACGAGGTCAGGAACGGGTGCGCCGTCGAGAAGGACGAGGCGCAGGACGAGGACGGACCCATCGACGACAATGTCCTCGACCTTGAGCGTCTTGGAGCAGATCGGGCACTGCCACTGGGGCGTCTGCTCGTTGACCTCGAACCAGGTCGTTGCGTCGAAGCATGCGATGTGCTCGCAGTGCGCCGAGCGGATCGGGATCTCGATGCGCGTGTAGGCGAGCTGCGGCGGGCGAGGTGGCAGGGGAAGGACGGCGAGTCAGGGACCGAGTGACGCCGCCGCCGCGAGAGGTGAGGCGAGGAGACGCACCGGATCACGCAGCGACACGCCGAGTGCGCTCGCGTCGACGTCCTCGTCAGAGTTGATGGCGATGACTGCGAGCGGCGAGAGAGGGGCCAGGGTCAGTGCTGGGCACTCGGCTCGACTGGCGCCCTCGACGACGACCGAGTGGGGGAGAGTGGGACGTACTGCTCTGGATGACCTCCTCCTTGGACTTGGTCTTGCCCGCCTTGACGCGGTTGACGACCTTGTCGACGGGCGTGTACTCGACGAGGTACGCGATGAGGTAGTACACCTGGAGGGACGTGCGGCAAGGTCAGGTCGGGCGCGAGGACGACAAAGAGGGAGAGGGAGAGACGGGGCGCACCTTTTCCGTGTTGATGTAGTGGACCTCGGCGCGGTTGGGCGCGCCCGGCGTGAGCGCGATGGTCGTGCCCTTTGCCGGGCTCAGGTGGACCGGCGGCGCCGTGCCCGGCTGCTTCTTGATGCCCTTGGTGTTGGCGGCGATCGTGACGCCGTTGATCTTGATCTCGCACACGCCCGGGTACTCGACCGGCGCCGGGAACTGGTTGACGTGCGAGCGCATCTGGTTGTAGTTTGTGTCGCTCGTGCAGTACAGGCGGACCTGGTACTGCGGGTTGCTCGGCGACTCGTTGCTCTTGACGAGGAGCGTGCGCTGCGCCTCGGTGAGCGTGATCGGGCACACGGCCGTCTTGCGGTCGCCCGGCGCCGCCTTGGGCATCGACACGACCGGCGACACGAACTTGTCGATGCGGAAGAACGGCGACGGGCGGAACCGGATCGGGACGTCGTCGGCAACGCGCCCGTAGCCGTTGACGGCCGTCGCCGCCGCCGCCGCCGCCGCACCCGTGCCGTACGCGCCGGCACCGCCGAAGCGAGGCGTGGGCAGGTTGTTGCTCGCCGCCGCCGCCGAGGTTGACGCACTTGCGCGTGCCGCAGCAGCAGCACCTGCCGCACCTGGGGCCGGCGCGCCGTATCCGCCGCCGTGAGCCGCCGCGCCGTAAGCGGGCGCGCCGTACGCGTTGACGGCGGCCGCGGTCGAGGTCGACGCGCCGTAGTTGCCGTAGCCGGCGTTGGCGTTGTAGTAGCCGCCGACAGGAGCGAGGTTGGTCGAGCTGCAGGACGAGGCGGCGTGAGCTGGCTGTGGGAGGTGCGCCGCGAGGAAGAGAGAAGGGCACGACGGACCCGACCTTTGCTGCCGAAATGGCGGCCCGCATCGTCTGGAAGCGCGTCTTGTCCGGCTTGCCGAACTCGAACGCGAGCTGGTTGGCGAGGGCGCTGTACTGCGAGCGTGTGGCGAGGAGGGTGAGCAATGATGGCTCGGGAGGGCGGAAGAGGCTGCGAGCGGGACGCACGAGGTCGTTCTTCTTGCCCGAGACGCGCATGTGCAACGACAGGTGCTGGTTCGTGTTGCGGATCGCGAGCTTGAGCTTGTCGACCGTCATGTGGGCGAGGTCGGCCTCGGCCTGGGCGCGGTGCTGCGGGCGGGATGAGCGAGGTGAGCGACGAGGACGCGGTCGGCAGAAGAGAGGAGAGAGGGTGCCGACGCACTGCGTGGTCGGTGGCAGACATCGGGTTGATCTTGTGGGCCCAGTAGCGTAGAGCGCTCAACTGGAGGTCGGTGAGAGGCGAGTCGGCGCGCGAGAAGTCGTCTCGGTCGCGGTGCTGGGACGAGTCGGACGAGGTGGTGCGACCTTGCGATGCGGTGGACGTCGCCGAGCTCGAGCGCGACGGGTACAGCGAGGGGAGCTGAGGCGAGCGAGAAACGGCCGACGAGGGCTGCTGGTGCTGGTGGGGGCGGCCGAGGGGGGTTGTCGGCGGCGCGAGGCGGTTACCGTGCTGGTCGGCGTACGACGGGGCGGTGTAGCCCGAGTGGTAGTGGGGCGGGAAGGCGGGCGCGTACGGGTTGGCGAGGCGGAGGAAAGGTGCTGGCGGAGGAGGAGCGACGGCTTGAGGCGTCCAAGACGGGGCTTGTCCGGCGTAGGTCGAGAAGGCGGTCGAGTAGCGGAGAGGTGGGAGAGGAGGGAGCTGGCCTTGAGGGTCACGAGGGTCGTAGTAGGGCGGGCCGTGGGGTTGCATGCGACGGCGACACCGCCGAGTCGAGGAGGAAGAGGTGCAGGCGTCGAGCTGTTTCGAGGGGCCCCGAGTGTCAGTGCTGCCCTCCTTGAGCTGCAGTCGAGGGCTGCAGTGCTGCTTGTCCGCCTCCGAGCGGCACCAGAGCCTCGGCGGCGCCCTCTGGACGCGACGAACGCGGGAGGGGGAGGGCAAGCCGGACTCGCTGCAAGGACGGTCGACCAGCGCCTCGTAGCAGCTCGTGCGGGCTCCTGCTAGACCGCCTGCTACCCTCCCAGCGCGCCCGAGCCCGGCGCGCGACGATGAGGCGACCGACCGCCACCGCGAGCCGTGTCGACCCTCGTTTGACGTGATCGCCTCGACTGCGATGCACGCGCGTGCGACAGAGCGAGAGAAAGAGGCAGACTCACAGCGTGCGAGATGCGGCTTGGTCTGGCCGAGCAGTGGATGCCGAGCTGGACGAGGGAGCTCTGGAGGCGGGGTTCGAGCCGGTGTCAGCCGTCGCGAGGCGGCGCGACGAGGTGCTCGAGGGGGCGAGGACGGACCTTGGCAGTCGACAGAGCGAGCCACTGCGTCTAGCAGGGCGAGCGAGAGAGCACGGACGAGCTGGGCCCTGTGCTCGTCGTCCGACCCCTCGTCTCGCCGCTCTCTCGCGACGATGACTACCTTGGCGCCCTCTGACGGTACCGCCGACCGAGCGCATGCGTCGACATCGTCCTCCTGATCGACACCAGCACCACGCCCGCAGCCCCCGAGTCGAGTGATCGTCCTCTCGCCTCGCGACTCGCACGAGCGCGCTCTCGCACAGCGCTACCGAGCGAGCAAACTCTCGCGAGGACCAGGTCGCCCCACAGCTCGCACGGGCGAGCGCGCAGGGTCAAACTTTGCCGTTGCCAACGAGCGCGGTCGCTTTCAAAAGCCGGCTCCCGCTCCCGCCGCCGCTCCTCGAGGACTCGCTCGAGCTCTCCTGAGCGCGAAGGTCTGGCTACAACGGTCGGTAGATCCTCGCTGCGCTATCGGCATCAATCGCGCGCGGTGCCGACTTTGGCCTGAGGGCGATTTCAGCTGCTCGTCCGCCGCCTCTCTCCCGCCCTCACTCTCTCCCTCTCTCTCCCTCTCCCTCCCTCTCTCCCCCAGTCCAGCTCATCCCGTGTCTTTCTTAGCGACCGCTCCTTGCCTAGCTGTGTAGACATGGCTCGCGCTCGCTCCACCTCGTGCTCGTGAGTCCCCCTCCTCGTCCTCCTCCTCCTTCCTCCCCTCGCCTCCCTCCCTTCCTCCCCTCGGCGCAACACCCAGCTTACGCAGGCTTCTGCCCTACTTTGCACTCGCAGGTCGTCCCCCGGCAGGCCCGACAAGCCCGTCGTCGCCCTCGCCGCTCAAGCGCCAAGCCGTCCCGCCTCGACGCCCCACTACCAGCGCGCCCGGTCGCGCTCCCTCTCGGGCCAGAGCCTCGTCCGCATCGTGAGCCAAGTCGCCTCGGCCTCGTCCAGCACGGGCAGCCGCGGCGTGAGGTCCACCTCGCCCGAGCTCGTCGAGATGGTCACCCCGACCACTTCGTCCTCGAGCCTCGAACCTGACGACCCTCAGCAGCGCCTCCCCGTCCACGTCACGCACCAGTGGGTCCTCCAGCCGATCCTCGCAGGCCCGACTCGTCCCGATGGCGCCCTTTCGCCCTCGACCACGCCGTCGAAGGTACAGCACGCCCGCTTCCCACCCGCGTCCACCTACCCGCCGCGTTACCCCTCGCCGTACGCGCCCCGCACCAGCCCCGAGTTTGTCGACACCTCGACCACCGCGTGGCCGCCGTACCCGACCCCGCCCTTCACGTCGGGCTTGCCCGGCGCGAGCCCGTACCCGTCGCCGGACGCCTATCCGCTCAGCTCGTTCCCGTTCCCGGCCGTCTACGACAGCTACGAGGCGCACGTCGAGCCGTACGCGCCTTACGGTCCGACCACGGCCTCGCCGCCGTTCTACACGCACTACCCGCCGCCGGCGTGCGTCCCGTACGGCCCGACCTCGACGCCCTTCTTCGACCCGCCAACGACGCCCGTCCTTCCGCTCTCGCCGCCGACCCACTACGTCCCTCGTCCCGACATCGGTCACCCTCGTCGCGGCAGTGCGCCCGCCGTCGTCGCCGGTCCAGCTCCGTCGGGCTCGCCGGCGCTCGGCCTCGGCTTCGGCGGCGGCGTCGGGCAGCGCAGCCCTCGCACGGCTCGAGGCGGGTCGCCGAGCCTGCGCGACCTCCTCGACAGCGGCGAGCACATCCCGAGCCGAGGCAGGGTCAAGTTCTTCAACGCGCGCAAGGTGAGCCCTCGTCGTCCCACCTCGTCCTCCCCCAGGACGATAACTGTACCTGCACCTGAAAGGGTTGGTGCGTGCCTTGCCATGAGGTTCCCTCCCGGGAATGCGTGCGGGTAGGCAGGGATACGCGGAGGCATTCCCGGCAGTCCACCGAACTGTTCATGGAAAAAAGTAACGTTAACACCAACGAACATTGTCCAGAAGTGGATGTGTGCTAATTGCTCGTTGCAAGTTTTACCAATGATCTTAGGTCCCCAGAACTGGATCCAACGAACATTCCAAATACTGCTCCCATTGTAAGAACGTCGAGGAAGTGAGACACCACTTAATATGTATCGTGGATTGCAACGTCTAAAGAACCGTTAGCAAAGATAACTCCTGTAATACCTCCAATTGTGAATAGTGCAATGACTCCTAATGCGAATACGATTGGGGCAGTGTATCGTACTGATCCAGCGTAACATGAAACTAGGCGTGACAGGATTTTACTTCCTGTCGGAACGGCCATGACTATTGTGGCCTCAGTGAACTCACCCTCGAGTATCAACGTCAAGTCCTACAGCTAACATGTGGTCACTCTCAAACGATGAATCCGAAAATTCCACACCCGCCATAACGTACACGATTCCTCAGTATCCGACTACCGCGTTTATCTGAGAATGTTGCACTACGAGAGATACGATTGCGGACTATCGGATGAACAGATGAAGACCTCTGGGTGTACGACGAGCATGACAGGTGTTGGAATAGGATTGGGT